CCCACACGTCACTTACTAGTCATCACCCAAGCCCAGCACTCTCCCACGCCACACACCTCCCACTGAGCCAAACTTTCCCTGACTAATCATAACCCGTGTAGCTGCTGACCTTCCTGAGTCACCCCTCACCCGCCCTCACCTACCCTCACCTGCCCTAACTTACCCTCACCTGCCCTCACCATCCTGCACTTCCGGTACCCCCTACACCCCCCTCCTCCTCCACCTCCATCAGGCTCACCAAGAGCGCCTCACTTCGAACCCACGCTGACTCCTCCAGTGTTACTCCTCTAGTTTTGATTCTCATTATTCTTCCGCCTACTCCTTCATTCAATTCCCTCCAGTTCTACTTCCATCTTTCTATCTATCTACCATCTACTCCTCCATTTACCATCTCCTCAGGCTGACTGGCTGTCTAGTGCCTGTCGACACAGGCACAAGACATCCTACCCTATCCCATATTTGGGTGTTTTAAGGGCCTTATTTCATATTCCGCCGACCCTACTGGCGGATGCTGGTCTAGGGAGGTAGTCTATTGCCTGGCCGTATAGATCGGGGGTGGTAATGGACCTTTTGAGATTTGGTAACTTTTTGGGAACCATGTATGGTTGTTGTCGTTGTCTGGTGGGAGTCTTTGAAAGAGTTCTTGCTCTAATCGTTCTATCGTTTGCCAGACTGCTGGCCAGGGTGTGCAGCTGCTGGTTGATGGGTTTTATTCACAGGTCTCTTATGTATCTCGGCTGTGGTTCTGGTGAAGGGGTATCTTTCACCTGTGACGTATCTCAGGGCTTCATTTTGGACCACCTGTAATTTTAATATTTAAGTGGTGCTCACAGTATGAAGAGGTACTGCTGGGTAAGTTAATATCGGTATGATAAGTGCAACCTGCTCCACCACCTCCTCCCGCTCTTCCTAACCCTCCTCCCTCTCCTCCTCCCCCTCCATATCTTCAAGGGTAACACTCCACTAGGCCAAGGAAATGTCTCAGTCCGCCTCCCCACCCTAACCTTAACCCCTGTCCTACCCTCCCTCCCTCCCTCCCTCCCTATTTTCTGCGTACATCCCTTCCTCCCTCCCAGTCTACCTGCCTCCATCCTCTATTCCCTCTTACCATCCCCTCTTCCCTTCCTCCTTATCTCTTACCCATCCCCCCTCCTTCCCTGATGCTTGCTCCTGCTCCATCCACTTTCACTTTCTCTCTCATGACCGCCTTTCTGTCTACTACCACCACTACCACCACCACCACCACCTGCACTACCTCATCCGCCGCCTCCTCTTCCATCTCCTCCTCCTCTTCCTTCTCCTCCTCCTCTTCCTTCTGCTCCCCCTCTCATGTCATCAACTTCGCTTTCACTGTTCCCTTACCACCATTCCTTCCCGGATCTCTCTCTCTCTCTCTCTCGCCAATTCCGCCCAAAACTCGCAAATATTCGCCAAACTTGATACAGAATCGTGGGTGATAAAGATGGCGATGGTTGGCAAGGTTAGGTGTGTGTTGGTCCGGTTAGGTGAAGTGTTTTCTACCTTACATAATCACTGTATGCTGTCCCTTACCACTTGTTCTCCCTGCCCCCTTACTCCTTCCCCTTACCCCCTACCCTGCCCCTTACTCCATCCCTTGTCCCTTCCCCTTACTACCACCACTTCACTGAACCCACATAAACTAGTGTATATACTGCCCCTTGCCCCCTATCCCCCCTCCCTCCCCTTTGTTCCTGCCCCCCCCCTGCCCCCTTGTCCCTTACGCCCCTCCCCCTGCCCCCCTGTTCCTCACAACCCCTCCACCCCCATGATTTATACCCACCCGGAATCCCAACATCCTGGAGGAGGGGAGAGGAAAGGTGGGCGAACAGGTAGGTAGGGATTTAGGGGAGATTTTATACGACCTTTGTTACCTGTGTGTGTGTGTGTGTGTGTGTGTGTGTGTGTGTGTGTGTGTGTGTGACGATATTTTGCTATTGTTATTATTATTATTATTATTATTGATAAGGTATATTTTATGACACGTAAAGGCAAGGCTAGCCAGGGTGTCATTATGGGCTGTGTTGTCATGCCTTGAGTTGTGACACTAAATGCCAGCGTGACAGACAGACATATTACTGGGTTATTGTCTTATAAATAGTGTCACGGCCATTTGATGCTACTACTACTACTGCCTCCCCCTCCCTCTCCTTCCCCTCCTACTCCCTCCCTCCTCCCTCCCTGCCCCTTCCTCCTCCTTTCCCTCCTCCTCCTCCTCCTACCCTCCCTCCCTCCCTCCTTCCTCCCCTCCCTACCTCCCCAAGGACAGAAGTAAGGGAGGTAGTAAGATGATGATAATTACCTTAATAAACGCATAATTGCCGTGTTTCTCTCCTCATGACAACCTCCCTTAACTTGATACTCTCCCTTAAGACAATTAATCTCCCTCGTGGATTTACGTTACGACATGAAGGTAGATTCTTCAAAGTTCGTAAGTTAAGTTATAGTTCTGACTCACTTAAGTTGCGTGTTAGGAGTTTAAGTTACACTGATGGATTTAAGTGGATTCTCATAAGTTCGTAAGGTAAATATTGCCCTTGACTGGTTCAATTATCTTACGGTACAGAGAACTCAATCAAAATGGCGCCAAATGTTACCCGAGTTTATAGATAATTTCTTTTATATATTTAGTTTGTGAGAAGAATATTAACGTCAACGAATGTCTCGAGAATCTTATTGGAGGTGTGTGTGTGTGTGTGGGATGATGGGGTATGTGAGTGTAGGACCTGGTTACACACACACACACACACACACAGGACAAAACAAACACTACACGTAACTATTTCTTGTGAACAAACATCACGTCCCTTATGCCCTTTTATTACGTCTCTCTCTCTCTCTCTCTCTCTCTCTCTCTCTCTCTCTCTCTCCAACGAGATATTCAAATGTGGACTCGTGCCCTCTCTCTCTCTCTCTCTCTCTTCCCCTCTCCTCCTATTCTCCCCCATCCTCACCAAGGCACTTAACCCAAGATGAGTGCCTCCTTGACCTAGTTATTATCAGTTGGTAAGTTAAGTGATCAAGTTGTGACACATACAACACTGTCTCACTTAATTGATGCCGTGAGAACACTTGCGGTGATTCACACAAGTTATGGATTCTCTAATGTTCGTAAGTTAAGAAGATGGGATTCTCTAGCGTTCGTAAGTTAATTTCTACCTCTAACTGGCAACATGACTTGACTGCCTCACTTAACTTAACCTAATCTAACCTAACCTTCGACGTAAAGGTAGATTTTTCAAAGGTACGTAGGTTAAAATCTTCAATAACTGGAGACGTTGGAACACATCAAAGTCAACCCTCTCAAGTCTCAGGGTACAAAGATGGCGACCATAATGGCGTCAACATTCTACCTGAGACTGTAGTACCTTGGGGTGTTCTCTGACCTCCTCGAGTGTAGGGAGTAACAAGGGCGCCCTCATCTTAACCCTGTACAGTATTTAACCTGGACTACCTTTCACAACCTCCCTTGACATTTCACTAAAAGAAAGTTGGGATTTTGCTGCCGCTTTCCCCAGCAGGATGTGTTCATAATAGAAAGCGGTCGAGTGCTGTGCTTTCTAAAAAAAATTTGACTGGAGGAAACTTGGTAAAATGAAAAGTTCTAATTGGATCAGCTTTAGATTCGTCACCTAACTAACCTAACACTAACTTAACACTAACCTAACACTAACCTAACACCTAACACTAACTTAACACTAACCTAACACTAACCTAACACTAACTTAACACTAACCTAACACTAACCTAACACTAACCTAACACTAACTTAACACTAACCTAACACTAACCTAACACTAACTTAACACTAACCTAACACTAACCTAACACTAACTTAACACTAACCTAACACTAACCTAACATTAACTTAACACTGACCTAACACTAACCCAACACTAACCTAATCTAACCCAACGCTAACTTAACCCAACACTAAGCTAACCTAACACTAACTTAACACTGACCTAGCCAAACCCAACACTAACCTAACCAAACCCTTTGTTCTAGATCAAATCATACACACTTGGAGAAAGTGTCCCCCCTCCTCCTTTCTCCTGGACCAAGAAAGTGAAAGGTTTATTCTGTTGTGGAGTATTGTGTTGTTTATACTATCTCTCTCTCTCTCTCTCTCTCTCTCTCTCTCAGGCGGTAGTGAGAGAGGTAACGGCAAACTCGTTAAGATATCTGTACATAAAATTCTCTCTGCCGATGTAAAGGTTCACCTGTCGGTCCGTCTATCCGTCTATCCATTCACCCGTCCGTCCGTCCGTCCGTCCAAGTCTAGTTACAGGAACAATTAAGTACCCCTTATAATAACATAATTATATATCAGATAATTATAATTCTTTGGTTGTGTCATTGTTGGAATTTGTTGCCGTTCTGTCGTAATTAGGTCTAGTCTCTGGCAATTATGGCGGCCATTTTGAACAGTTATAAAAAATGGGTGTTTAGGAGGTCGTGTTGTTGTTCTCTCTCTCTCTCTCTCTCTCTCTCTCTCTCTCTCTTCACCATGAACTACACTACACATTATTCACATGAGTAATACATTCTCATTTGTATGTGTATATAATAATAATACTTAATGTAGGTATGAATGCATTTGTTTGACCTACCTAGATGAACCTTGGCACTCATTTTGGTGGGCGGCACTCAAGGGAAGGCACTCCAGTTTGCTCTGTTGTTGTTGCCAATTTATGTTTTTTTTTATTGCAGTATTAATATTATTTTTGTTTTTATTGTTCTCATTGTTATTGTTGTTATTGTTTTCTCATTATTATTTTTGTTGTTATTCTTCTTGTTCTCATCATTATATTGTTGGTATTGTTATTCTTCTCATTATTATTGTTGTTATTGTTATCATTATTATTATTGTTATTGTTCTCATCATCAATATTATTGTTATTCCTCTCCTCATCATCTTTCCATATTAATTTATATTTATCAAGATGTGTTTCTTAATATATATTTTTTCTTCTCAACAGATGTGGACGATTATATCATTTTGTTGCCTCGTGTTTGTAGGGGTACAAGGAGAGCCTGGTCCAGAGGTAAGTGTGTGTGTGTGTGTGTGTGTGGGAGAGGCAGCAAGTATCAGGGAGGAGAAAGTGCCTCTACCTACTTGCCATGACACCTCGAGCATCATCATCATCATCTCTCTCTCTCTCTCTCTCTCTCTCTCTCTCTCTCTCTCTCTCTCTCTCTCTCTCTAAAAATAATGACCTCAACAAAAATCTGAGGTCAGGCAGTCAAGTTCGCCAGGAAATGATCTTATGATTGACCCTGGCATCATTGCTGGGGGTAGGAGGGGCCAGGGAGTAACGGTAGAGATATTAATGGGTAAAACTGAGGGTAGGAGAGCCGGGTGTTATCATAGGTGTAGTGTATATAATAGTGTCATCATAGGTGTAGTGTATATAATAGTGTCATCAGAGGTATAGTGTATATAATAGTGTCATCATAGGTGTAGTGTATATAATAGTGTCATCAGAGGTGTAGTGTATATAATAGTGTCATCATAGGTGTAGTGTATATAATAGTGTCATCAGAGGTATAGTGTGTATATAATAGTGTCAACATAGGTGTAGTGTATATAATAGTGTCATAGGTGTAGTGTATATAATAGTGTCATCATAGGTGTGTAGTGTATATAATAGTGTCATCAGAGGTATAGTGTATATAATAGTGTCATCATAGGTGTAGTGTATATATAGTGTCATCAGAGGTATAGTGTATATAATAGTGTCATCATAGGTGTGTGTGTATATAATAGTGTCATCAGAGGTATAGTGTATGTAATAGTGTCATCAGAGGTATAGTGTATATAATAGTGTCATCAGAGTGTATAGTGTATATAATAGTGTAACACAGGTGTAGTGTATATATAAAGTTAACAGAGGTATAGTATATATAGTGTTAACAGATAGTATAGTGTATATAATAGTGTTAACAGAGAGGTATAGTGTGTATATAATAGTGTCATCAGATATAGTATATAATAGTGTCATCAGAGGTATAGTGTATATAATAGTGTCATCATAGGTGTAGTGTATATAATAGTGTCATCATAGGTGTAGTGTATATAATAGTGTCATCAGAGGTATAGTGTATATAATAGTGTCATCATAGGTGTAGTGTATATAATAGTGTCATCAGAGGTGTAGTGTATATAATAGTGTCATCAGAGGTATAGTGTATATAATAGTGTCATCAGAGGTATAGTGTATATAATAGTGTCATCATAGGTGTAGTGTATATAATAGTGTCATCAGAGGTATAGTGTATATAATAGTGTCATCAGAGGTATAGTGTATATAATAGTGTCATCAGAGGTATAGTGTATATAATAGTGTCATCAGAGGTATAGTGTATATAATAGTGTCATCATAGGTGTAGTGTATATAATAGTGCCATCAGAGGTATAGTGTATATAATAGTGTCATCAGAGGTATAGTGTATACAATAGTGTCATCAGAGGTATAGTGTATACAATAGTGTCTTCAGAGGTATAGTATATAATAGTGTCATCAGAGGTATAGTGTATATACAGTGTCATCAGAGGTATAGTGTATATAATAGTGTCATCAGAGGCATAATATTGTATATATTAGTGTCATCAGAGTGTATAGTGTATATAATAGTGTCATCAGAGTGTATAGTGCATACAATATGTCAACAGAGGTATAGTGTATATACAGTGTCATCACAGGTAGTATATAATAGTGTCATCAGAGGTATAGTGTATATAATAGTGTCATCAGAGGTATAGTGTATACAATAGTGTCATCAGAGGTATAGTGTATACAATAGTGTCTTCAGAGGTATAGTGTATATAATAGTGTCATCAGAGGTATAGTGTATATAATAGTGTCATCATAGGTATAGTGTATATAATAGTGTCATCAGAGGTATAGTGTATATAATAGTGTCATCATAGGTGTAGTGTATATAATAGTGTCATCAGAGGTATAGTGTATATAATAGTGTCATCAGAGGTATAGTGTATATACTAGTGTCAATAGAGGTATAGTGTATATAATAGTACATCAGAGGTATAGTGTATATATAATAGTGTCATCAGAGGTATAGTATAATAGTGTCACTGTAGAGGTATAGTGTATATATAATAGGTACACATAGGTAGTGTATATAATAGTGTCATCAGAGGTATAGTGTATAGTGTATATAATAGTGTCATCATAGGTGTAGTGTATATAATAGTATAGTGTATATAATAGTGTCATCATAGGTGTAGTGTATATAATAGTGTCATCATAGGTGTAGTGTATATAATAGTGTCATCAGAGGTATAGTGTATATAATAGTGTCATCAGAGGTATAGTGTATACAATAGTGTCATCAGAGGTATAGTGTATACAATAGTGTCTTCAGAGGTATAGTGTATATAATAGTGTCATCAGAGGTATAGTGTATATAATAGTGTCATCATAGGTATAGTGTATATAATAGTGTCATCAGAGGTATAGTGTATATAATAGTGTCATCATAGGTGTAGTGTATATAATAGTGTCATCAGAGGTATAGTGTATATAATAGTGTCATCAGAGGTATAGTGTATATAATAGTGTCATCAGAGGTATAGTGTATATAATAGTGTCATCATAGGTGTAGTGTATATAATAGTGTCATCAGAGGTATAGTGTATATAATAGTGTCATCAGAGGTATAGTGTATATAATAGTGTCATCAGAGGTATAGTGTATATAATAGTGTCATCAGAGGTATAGTGTATATAATAGTGTCATCAGAGGTATAGTGTATATAATAGTGTCATCAGAGGTATAGTGTATATAATAGTGTCATCATAGGTGTAGTGTATATAATAGTGTCATCAGAGGTATAGTGTATATAATAGTGTCATCATCAAGGTATAGTGTATATAATAGTGTCATCAGAGGTATAGTGTATATAATAGTGTCATCATAGGTGTAGTGTATATAATAGTGTCATCAGAGGTATAGTGTATATAATAGTGTCATCATAGGTGTAGTGTATATAATAGTGTCATCAGAGGTATAGTGTATATAATAGTGTCATCATAGGTGTAGTGTATATAATAGTGTCATCAGAGGTATAGTGTATATAATAGTGTCATCAGAGGTATAGTGTATATAATAGTGTCATCAGAGGTATAGTGTATACAATAGTGTCATCAGAGGTATAGTGTATATAAGAGGTATAGTGTATATAATAGTGTCATCAGAGGTATAGTGTATATAATAGTGTCATCATAGGTATAGTGTATATAATAGTGTCATCAGAGGTGTAGTGTATATAATAGTGTCATCAGAGGTATAGTGTATATAATAGTGTCATCATAGGTATAGTGTATATAATAGTGTCATCAGAGGTATAGTGTATATAATAGTGTCATCATAGGTGTAGTGTATATAATAGTGTCATCAGAGGTATAGTGTATATAATAGTGTCATCATAGGTGTAGTGTATATAATAGTGTCATCAGAGGTATAGTGTATATAATAGTGTCATCATAGGTGTAGTGTATATAATAGTGTCATCAGTGTCATGTATAGAGGTATAGTGTATATAATAGTGTCATCATAGGTGTAGTGTATATAATAGTGTCATCAGAGGTATAGTGTATATAATAGTGTCATCAGAGGTAGTGTATATAATAGTGTCATCAGAGGTGTAGTGTATATAATAGTGTCATCAGAGGTATAGTGTATATAATAGTGTCATCATAGGTGTAGTGTATATAATAGTGTCATCAGAGGTATAGTGTATATAATAGTGTCATCATAGGTGTAGTGTATATAATAGTGTCATCAGAGGTATAGTGTATATAATAGTGTCATCAGAGGTATAGTGTATATAATAGTGTCATCAGAGGTATAGTGTATATAATAGTGTCATCAGAGGTATAGTGTATATAATAGTGTCATCATAGGTGTAGTGTATATAATAGTGCCATCAGAGGTATAGTGTATATAATAGTGTCATCAGAGGTATAGTGTATACAATAGTGTCATCAGAGGTATAGTGTATACAATAGTGTCTTCAGAGGTGTTTATTGCATGTATTAATATATTGTTTCTTCTGTTCACAGCTATGGCGTTTGGAGGCGTCGACTCACCATAGGATAGTGAGGGACCTGGAGGACTCTGGTGATGTGGATGTGTGGGGTCATAGCCAGGACCATGCACAGGTAGGGAGAGGAGGAGAGGTAGGGAGAGAGAAGAGGTAGGGAGAGAGAAGGGAGGATGAGGAGAGGCAGGGTGGGGGAGAGGGAGAAGAGGAAAGGGAGGCAGGATGAGAGAAAGGAAGGAGGTAGAGAGGAGAGGGATGGAGGGAGAGAGAAGAAAGTAGGATAAATAAAAAAGGGAGAAGTGTCTTGGAGAGAAAACAGGTGAGAAGGGTGGAAGAGAGAGAGATCATAGATTGTGGCGTTCTGGAATATATCCCAGATAGGTACTGTAAGGAGTATAGTATAGTATTATATATATCCCAGTGTACTGTCTGTCCTTATACCAAATGTTAAAGGTTTTAGTACATTGTCTAATACATAACACAGGTATTAGGGCTGTCTGACCCTCTGATTAATATTGCAGGTGTTGGTAGAGCCCGAGGCGAAGAGCCGGGTAACTCGGGCGCTGGAGGAGGCAGGGATCAGTCACTTGGTGGAGGTGGAGGATGTGTTGGGGCTGGTGGAGGAACAGAGAGCCCAAAGGAGGAAGAGAAGCACCAGAAGTAAACGAGCAGGTCAGTATATACTCCTCAGGTAAAGGGTTGAGGAGTCTACCTGTTATAATTATTGGGTCATTACACACCTTCACCTTTTTTACCATACTACTGTACTTAAGAACATAAAAATGAAGGAAACTGCAACGGGCCTATCAGTCCATACTAGGCAGCCCTGCTTACACCCAACCTTTATCACTAATATTTCTATATTTGAAGTTTTTCAGCGAGTTCGAGTTAATGAAGGTGTTTACTAATTTGTCCCCAGTCATCTGCAATTTTTATTTCCAAACAAAATGTGTACCTTTTTCATGCCTAAAAAATACAATTTGGTCAAATTTTGAACCATTGCTATGTGTTCACTCCTGGTTTAATAGTTTAAGTACCCTTGTTATGTCACCTTTATTTAACCCCATCTTACAATTACTGTACTGTATACACTTTAATCATAATCACCCCCCACTCTACGTCTCTCAAGAGAGTGTAAATTTAATTTTTTTAATGTCTCTATACTCAAGGTTGCTAATTCCTGGGATTAGCCTTAGCATCCTTCCCTGATTGCTTTTTAGGGAATTAATGTCTGTTCTATAGTAAGGTACCCAAACTGAAATGCTTAATCCAACCGTAGTCTCACATTTGTGAGATATACTTGTAGTTTAGAATAACCTCGCTTGTCCTGTTACTAACATACCTTGATGTGAACCCTAGTATTGTACTACAGTGATGGTGTTACAACACTACCTGTGAATAGCAACCTAACACCTCCATACTGAAACAACACAAAAACATGATGGGTAACTTTGAAGGCTTAATAAACTGGGTTAGTGATGTACTCTACTTTATGTTTACCAGTAGTGTAGTTGAGCAGCTCTCTTTTTCTACAGCACAAGCCCTGGACTGGAACAGCTACCATGACATGAACGACATTGAATCTTTCATTAACTGGGTGAACGTGACGGGCGGCGACTTTGTTCAGGTGATCCCTGCCGCCGTCACAGAGGAGGGTCGTCAGGTCCTCGTTGTCCATGTGTCTGACCCCACTGTTCCTGAACCCAAAAAGAAGATCTGGATAGAAGGAGGTGAGGGAGAGACAAGAGGGGTGGAGGGAGGATTCAAAGCCAGGATGAAATGGACAGAACATCATCACTAAATAAGTGAGGGAAGACCTGGCCAGGACAGGTTTACCACTATCCAAGAACCTCATAGACTAGATTCTCAAATACTTATCCAGATTCACCCACCAGTTAGGGATAAGAGTTCAATGACAGTCTTTGGCAGTGTCCAGGTTTCTTATGGTCGACGTTTTTCTCTTGTAGTTTGTTAGAGATGCTTCCTCATAAACCCTCTCAGGAGAGAAATTTAACATAGGAACCTACATGAATCTGACCCCAGGTTGAAGGGGAGTGAGGGAGGGGCTGGCACAGGGTGGATCAAGGCTAGACACAAGGAAGAAGAGAAAAGCTGTAGATGAGGTAAGGAGGAGGATGGTAGGTTTATTGATGCCAAGTTAGAATAAGATAAATCAGATATGATAATTCATATGATAAGGTAAATAATAAGAAATCAAATACAATAATAAGTTAAATATTATTAATTAACAATGATCGGTAATAAATAGGTGACAGTTCAAGTTGTGTAGAAGATAAGGAGATAGGAAATGTTTGGTTGTTAGGCAAAAATTAGTTAGATCACATTCTCTCTGTTTGATTATATCCAGGTGTCTTTGTGTGTGTGTTACTCAGCTACTAGGTTGGCTCACACTACCTATATGTGTTTACGTATGTTCTTTACACCACTCATAGGATTAGGGATATGTACTGACACTACTGGAAATAAGCATATAATGGCTTTGGTGATTATCCTTGATCAAATTACCTTACTAATTTTATTGTTGTATACTTGTACTGTCTAGGTACATTGAAAATTGTACACCTCCATAGTCTATGTACAGTCACCCACAAAAGTCCTGTTGTTCCACAAACCCTGAGATTCAGGCTGTCTATTTACATTCCAAAGCAAATATAAATGTGATTTTACTGAATAAATATTATTATCCTGTCTGTATTGCTCCAGGTATCCACGCCCGTGAGTGGATCTCACCTGCCGTCACCACCTACATCCTGTATCAGCTGGTGACTGAGTGGCGCGACATGTTGCAGGTGACAGACTGGTATATTGTCCCTGTGGCCAACCCTGATGGCTACCAGTACACCTTCTCTGATAACAACAGGGCCAGGTGAGTCTCCCACACACACAACAATAGAGCCAAGTCGGTCTTCCAAACAGCAATAGAGCCAGGAGAGTCCCCCACACACACACACACATATTCTTAACTTACATACTCAGTCAGTCCCAACCTTCATATTGATTTAAAGGGTCTAGTCTGAACACCTTTGGACAATAATGTTACCTTATTTTCTTTTACAGGTGAGTGAATCATAACAAATTAACAAAGATGGCAGATAAATTAACACTGGGGGAAAGAGTCAGTTTAATATTCATTTAAGGAGAGCCAATAAATATGGAAAATAGTCACAGATAATGTTGGAAGTGGATACCATTTCCATTATTTACTGTAAATAGAACAAGGTATATAAAAATGTTGGTAAAACAAGAAACAACCATATTGTTAATTATTGTAGGTACACAGGGACTTTTCAATCACCCTGTATATGCTTTTGTATATGAACTGATGTCTATTTTACTGTGGGAAGGAACTGTACCTCTGTCAAAACTTTCCACTATCTGATGCTCTCTTCACCCTTAGTGTTGAAGACTAAACCATAACACAAAATATTTACCAAAGGATGTACAGGAACACCTAAACAGTTATTGAAATACAATATACTAGTATGCTGATTTGTTATCACACAACAAGAAGTGGCCAGTTATAACTTGGTGGGTTTATTTCAGGATGTGGAGAAAGAACCGTCGCAATAACCATGCTCGTAATGGACGCTGTAAGGGAGTTGACTTGAACCGCAACTGGAACCTCAAGTGGGGTGTTGGCGCGTCAAGTGACCCCTGCAGTGAGACCTACAAGGGCCCCGTCCCCTTCAGTGAGCCTGAGACCGACGGCCTCCAGAAAGTTATGACGTCCATCGGGGACATGGACCTCTTCATCACCTTCCACAGTTTTGGCCAGACAATCCTCTACCCCTGGGGATGGACTAACAATGCTCCTGCCAATGCCAAACAACTCAACCATCTGGCTAAAAAGTTTGCTGATAAAGTGAAAGACACATCTGGAGGGAAGATTGATTACAAGATAGGCGGGTCAGGGCCTCTGTATGGCTTGGCCTCAGGAGCCACCGACGACTGGGCCTACGGAAGACTGGGTGTCCCATTCTCCTACACCATTGAGCTGCCTGATGAAGGGAGACACGGCTTTCTCCTGCCTGAAAACCGCATAAGCAGCACCGTGATCGAGACAGCAGCTGGCGTACAGTGTATGGTCAGTTACCTGGCCAATTTTGGGTCATGTGCACGTCGCAAAACCCGAACTAGACAGCCAATCGTTACCCCAAGACAGCAGAACTACACCCCCGGACAACTGAGTTTTGCCCCCAGACAGGAGAACTTAAACCCCAGAGAGCAGAACTTTACCCCCAGAGAGCAGAATTTTACCCCCAGAGAGCATAACCTTACCCCCAGACAGCTGAGTTTTATATCCAGACAGAATCATGCTCTCTTCAGAGGGTGATCTTCATGTAGCACTCAACTCTCAAGGTTTTGTTTACCTTAACAAACAGTCTGAGTCTATAAAATGAGGTTGAAAATTTTTTTTCATGACGTCTTCCAATCTCACAGATCTACTTCTGTCAAATTATCAATTTGTAAATGATGCAAAATGGAAGAGTTTAAACCAGTGCATGAGTTGGACCCACTTCTGTTTTCTCTTAGTGGAGTTAACTTCAGAGATAAGACTAATTTGGCATTATTATTTTATTGTTCTTTGGAACGCAGATACTGTACAGTATTTAACTTGTACAAAAACCAGTGTGTGGAAGGTAATCATGGAAAACCATTAGAAGAACCATTAGTAGTGTTACAGGGATGATACCCACCACACAGGCCTGGTACAGAGCAGCTCTATGCCTGGCCCAGGATTTTCAATGATTCGCTGTAATATTCTTTCCCTTAACTGGGTATTAGATAACATATCTACAGTACTTACAACACTCTCAGTGCAAATTTGATGTCATTTTGGACACTAACTTTGTATTGAAGATTAAATGAACTAGGAATGTGCTGTGACACTTCCAGTTAAGGAAATAGTTAAGTATGAACCTTTGAGAATCTGGTGTAGTACGACTGTAATGAGTATATTCTCAGTTTTAGGATTTGGCTGAGGGAATTTGTTATGCTTTCAAGTGTATTACTACTTAGGTTTTGTTATTATTTCATTATAATTGTATTTATATAAAGTTTTGATGAAATATATTACTGTACCTGTACTATGGTACCAAGAGAGGAGTGTCAGAGTGAGCATTATACAACACACTGAGCAGTTCCCAGCTGAGATATTCACACAGGTGACTGGTCATATGGCTGGGCCATGCTCATACTGGTCCAAACTTCCTCAGGATTGGGTCACAGTCGTAATGTTTGGTTACAATCAAAGTAATCATTTAGGTAAATAATTATTTAATGTTTAAATATTCTGTTGATTCAGTGATAATTATCAGCACCTTCTATAAATACATTGTTACATAAGAATAAAGCTTTAATGATAAAATTATTTCTAATGTATAGCGATTTACTTTTTGAAGTGTTTAGTATTTTTTAAGTTATTATGGTATATTGTTGGAACGTAGCGTGTGTACCTCACCGTTCACTACTCTTAGTTCAGACTTGCCGTAGTGTAGACCTGCAGGTTGGTAGGTTGTAACACTCGTCAGTCATTAGTTAGCACATTATGAACTTGACATGTGATTGGCCAGCTGATGATGGACATGACGCCTGTGGGCCGTCTACCTCACTTACAGCATTAAGGCCCAGTCTACCTGGCTTCCTATTAAACTGTGTCATCTTCATGTTATTACTTTATTTATACCCAACATATCTTGTAACTTCCTGGTAGAGAGGAGGCCACTGGTGACTATGCAGCATTAGTGTACATAGGTGGACAGATATTCAGTAAAATTTACTTAAGAAATGGACTCGGTGCAAAGTTAATACTGTACAGGTTTCATTATGGACACCATTTTTGTGAGTGTTGTTGGCATGTATTGAGCAACATTAAGAAACTACTTTTGTGGGAGCCAACATTTTGAACTAGTTTCATATAACAAATGTTTGCAATACTTGTGATAAAATAAAAATAGGCTCAGTTCTCCAAAGGTCAAGCACAAGATATACTGTATCTATGAACACCTTCAACCCATCAGTGCTCTTGTAACAACATACTGTAAGTGAAAAGTGAATCTATACAGCAATATGATGCCTGCTCCACTAGAGGTCACAGCTCAGAGTTTGTTGTGAGCTCTTTCAAAATCAGACTTGACCAACACTGACGCAGGTACAGATACATTCTGGAGCCAGTCCATACAGAATACTTGTCAACAGTGTGTAACAGAGATGTAACCAACCACCCAAGCAGCTAACAGGCCAATCAGTGGTGAAGAGGATTAATGTATAAAGTAAAAGCAAGTTCTCTGCTGGTTCCTGCGTCAAACACCCTGAAACATATAAACAGTGGTCACCAGATTGCCACTTGCATATATTTTGAGAGTAATGCAATATTTACAGTAAATGCAAGTGAAATTACATAGTGTACAGTAGTTCGCCCTGACAAGGTTTTTCTGAAGGGTAGACAGACGGATGACTGGAGTCAACATTGTGTCATCATAAAGTTTTTTTAGTAGGAAACTAATGTTGTGTAATACTGTACTATAGTTAACGGTAATGTTCTTTTCAGATAATTTGTTAAAGAAAATCGACCACCTCCCATGTTCTTTTTAACCTAATGTAGATAAATGTGTGTGTGTGTGTTGCTCTTTTCCACAGGGTGGTGTAATGCATTTAGTGTGGCAGCATTATGTGAAGGTGCAAGCACTGCTTGCTTCCTCTCGCTTTCAGCTACCACCATTGGCTAGGCCTCGTGGTGAACAGGGGAGTAGCCTAGTTTAAGTCTTCCCCTGCCAGTAAACAGCCTCTTCACCATCAAGAATCCTGCTGTACCTCTTCATGGCAACACATGTTAACTGGGTGCCTTGTGGCCCCAGGCTAGACTAGCAGGGGATCTCGGAGCAGCAGTGGACCCCAGAGGAACGGCGCATAGGCCCACCGACATGTGGACACGCCCTGGCACCTACCAACCACTGCCCCCCCCCCTGCCGTGCAGATTAACCTTGGTAGGGATAAGGCTATGGGAGTAAACCTAGAACCTAGAACGAAAAATCTGCGGTGGAGCCCCGCATCAGGCATACATGCTTACAGAACTCCAGTAAGACCCCAATGGCAGTGTAGGCGGAAGTGACCAACACGGGAACCCAACGACTACACCAGCGGATGAAGGCAAAGCAAGATGGACAAGCTACTAAGGCATAACCCAACAAACTGGGCTATCAGCAATCCATTACAACTTTCCCTCTCCTCAGTTGATGAAGCTACCTGCACCACTGGATCAGGAAAAGGGAGAGCCAGGATGTGTGATTTTAGCCTGTATTCCTGCCTCACCACATAAATCAACTCATGCACAGCCATCCTCCAGCTCACCATACTTTCCATCATCATCAGAACCCTTAAACCCTGAAAAGTCCAATGGTGACATGAATGGTGATGGGGACAGGCAGAAATGACTGTCGGGAGTCTCTAGTCACAACTCTGCATATGGTCGTTTATGCACTGGGATCTAGGTAGCAGTGCAATCCTGTGCTGACTTATGGCAGGGAACTATTGGTAGAAACTGAGTGGGCAAGTTTAATCCCAATGGCCTACTCCTCAGCAAGTGTTCTGAACACAACCTCACTCTCACCAACACCTTGTTTAGGCAGGCTAACAAGTTCAAGAGTTCTTGGCAACACCCATGATCCAAACATTGGCATCTCATTGACTACATCATTGTCAGAGAAAGAGATCGCCGAGATGTTCTCATCACTAGAGCCATGAGTGGCTCGACCACTGTGACACAGATCATCTGCTTACCAGGACCAAACTCTCCTTTCATGTCGCCTCAAAATGGGACAGGCAACAAGCCTCCAGAAGAGGTTTAAACACCGAGCAACTGGAGGATCAAACGATAGAACATGCTTTCAGAGAGGAGTTCGACAATGGGCTGATAAACAACCCAACAACAACCTAAATCCGAGTGCTGAATGGGGTAGTGCAACTTTCACAATCTAAAAAACGAATGGTGGAAAAATAAAGTGTGTGAAATGCAACAAATTGCAGATCAACACAAGATTTGCGAATTTTTCAATTCCATTAAAGCAATGTATGGGCCAACTACTCATTTAGATCCACCAGTCCCATGATTCATATATTCTAGCAATTTTAAGGAAACTGTTGTCAAAATCACTAAACAAAACAGCCTCATGGCTATCATGAAGTTTACTTCAATTACCATATTCTAATTTGACGCTGGGAATACCTACTTCTTTCCTCATATTAAGTACTTTAGTGCTCATGTGACAGCCTAGGATAATTCTAAATGCTTTATTTTACATGTGTGTGTTGAAGCTAAATATGTGTGTGTGTTGAGGCTGTACTGCACGTATGTGTGTGTGTGTTGAGGCTGTACTGCATGTATGTGTGTGTGTGTGTTGAGGCTGTACTGCATGTATGTGTGTGTGTGTGTGTTGAGGCTGTACTGCATGTATGTGTGTGTGTGTGTGTTGAGGCTGTACTGCATGTATGTGTGTGTGTGTGTGTGTGTGTTGAGGCTGTACTGCATGTATGTGTGTGTGTGTGTGTGTGAGGCTGTACTGCATGTATGTGTGTGTGTGTGTGTGTTGAGGCTGTACTGCATGTATGTGTGTATGTGTTGAGGCTGTACTGCATGTATGTGTGTATGTGTTGAGGCTGTATGCATGCTGTATGTGTGTGTGTGTGTGTGTGTGTGTGTGTGTGTGTGTGTGTGTGTGTGTGTGTGTGTGTGAGGCCATATATGTGTGTGTGTGTGTGTGCATGTGGTGAGGCCGTGTGTGTGTGTGTGTGTGTGTGCATGTGGTGAGGCCTTGTGTGTGTGTGTGCATGTGGTGAGGCCGTGTGTGTGTGTGTGCATGTGGTGAGGCCGTGTGTGTGTGTGTGTGTGTGGTGAGGCTGTATTGTATGTGTATGGTGAGGCCGTATGTTTCACCAGCCAGGAAATGACTCACTTGTCATGGTTTGTTGCTTTACACTCTGTTGTCTCTTCCTGTTTATAAACTCATGATCTGCTGGTTTTCCCGGGGTGTGGCGGGGATGGGGCGGGGCGGGTTATTGTATGAAGGGCTAGACTCTCACAAGTGATAACAATGTTAAATTAAAGTCTACGGGAGAGATATTTAATTAAGATGTTTAGTTGTTTACTGAGCGACGTGTGGGTCGCCTGTCATGGTGGCCGGCTGGGTAATCTCCCCTCCCTTCCTCCCAATTTGATAACAGTGTTTTTCTAGTTTTCACTTACGTAAAATCTTAAATATTTACTCAATTACTTAAATTCTTAATTCATTTTCTTACATATTCGGTTACTTGTATGTACTGTATTTAAAAACTTAGAGCCTTGGTCACATTCTCGTCTTCACTTGTGAGCGTACTGGCAGGTCGGGCGGAAGATTATTTCTGTTGTACACAATTGACAAGTACCAGAACATGTTACAGTGTTGGTCATGCCTGGACAATAAAGAGCTCACACTTAGTACTGTACTTTACGTTATACAAAATTATCTTTAACATTTATCTTTGATTTGAGGTTGTTACTGAGTAGTGACCTATGTGGTGCTTAAACCCTTCGATTAAGTCGCCCTTCCTCTCCTCTGTAGTGAAAAGTGAGCACTTGTGAACGTTCAGGTGGGGTGCGATAGCCGGCACCTGTCTGCTAGCCTTCAGACGGCCAGTATAAGTGACAAGGAACCTACATTCGGGCCAGCCTTGTCTGTAACACCCGGATAATGAAGATGAAGATATGATTTAGCTGGGATTTAAAAGGTGAGTATATGATCTGTATCTAAGGAGTTGCGTGTTCTTGTTAAGACCTGAGATGGAAGTGAGTTTAAAGTTTTGTGTTGATGGCAAGACCTGAGAGGGAAATGACGAAACAAGTCTGTTGAGGATCAGATATCACCCGGCCATGTAGGTGAGACGGACGGACAGACGTGTACAGGGAGGACACCTGTGTAAGCATATTTGATCATGAGTTGAGAGAAACGATATTCTCTGTTATGTGAAGTGCTACTCATTACACACCACTAGTCTATACCGAGACGTGTTTAAGATACCAATGTTTTGTTTCAATATTTTAAGATAAATTTTATGTTTTACAAAACATTTTAGCCATCAATCTTAACCTTGTGTACAGTACAACAGTTTCAGATGTGTGTCTGGCATGTTTCACTGTGATAACATCCTCATACACTGTACTGTACTTAAGGGTCAACACTGTAAGCACTGTACTGTATTTGCTGTTTTAAAAGGGAAAATGAAAGTAGGTCAGGTAGAAGCAGTAAGGATACAACACACTTTAGAAGTTTAGAGTAAAACAAAATCTGTACACAAGAAGGCAGTACACTTAATCACCTTCACTTCTCCAATTGGAGTTAGTTACCCATTCTCAACTGGGTGACTACAAGTTTTTTGTTGTTGTTTTGCTGTACTGTATATTGACAGTTGAGGTGGAGGTGAAGATGAGTTTCAAAAACACTTGTATCTAAAAAACTTGACAGTTGAGAAGGAGGAAGAGGAGGGGAGGGGAGATGTGTTTTAAGAATACAGTATTAGTATCTTGACAGTTGATGAGGAGGTGGAAGATGTGTTGTGAAATACTTAAGTCTTGATAGTTGAGGAGGATGTGATACGGGGTACTTCACTGTTTGGTGTACACGTCTGTACTGTCATCCCGTCTGGTCCTCGCGATATGATATACCGTCAGTTCGGTTGATTGAAACGTCCAAAAAACGGGCCACCAGCTTGCTTGGACTCCGGCACTCTGGTAGCCAGAGAGATTAGAATGCTGGTACTGTACAGTATAATTATTGCCTAGCTTATAAGCACCTCAGAAGACATTATTAGGTCGAGTGTCCATACCTGGAACTATCATTTGCCCATCCCACCAGAGATCACTGCCTCGGGTTAAGGAACCCCCAAGATCAGAAAATCTGACCTTGGAGTATGAATTGTGAACCCTTGGAATAATTCTGCTGAAAGCGATGTGGCAGTACCGACCAGCTACTATGCTGATAAATGGCGAAGGTAATAATAATAATAATTAACAAAAGTTAGCTCTTTCTGGCCAGACTTGACAACGCTGGTGCAGGTATAAAGCCAATGAATCCCCATAGTCCCATACTTACCACGGCCGAAATAGCCGAAAGGCGAAGTGGCCAGTATTCTCCAAACAAGCCATACTTACCAGTGTGTAACGGAGGCGTGAATGACCGCTCAGGCGACGAAGATAAAGTAAAGTTGCGAGTTAAGGAGGAAGGTGTGGTGTGAGATCACCTGTGTCTTGAAAGTTGCGAGTAAAAAGTTAGTGCTATAATGACACTAATCCGCCGTCAAATAAAAATATGAGATACAATCATACAATTCTGTGAAAGGGGATGAGGGTGATGGACTGAAACGTTTTACAACGCTGTCGGAGTGTTACGTTTACTACAGCTTCCCTGTTTTGTTTATTATATTATATACATATACTGAATATATAAATAATATTTATATAAGATAGTAAGTATGTAAATAAACAATATATAAATATATACATAAAGGAAAATAATGAATGTATAAATAAATGAATAAGGATGGAAGAGTGTGAGTGAGGGGCGACTATCACAGGTGTTTGTTTACGTGTGGTGTGCAGCAGGACGGAGGAGAGGAGGGCGGTGTAAACAACAACCAACCCGCCCATGTTTTGTGTTAATTCTCATAAAATGATCTGAAAATCTGTGAATTATTTATTGGAAACATGTTTTATCAACAGAGTGAACATGATTTATTACCTCATATTGAACCAGGGGAGGAGGACGTGGTGTTTGAAATGAGAGAAAGATCCTACTCTACCCCAGTCAGTGGGAGGACCCCACAGGCAGCTGGGGAAACTGCTAGGCCCAGGAGCTGGACGAGAGGCAGTGACAACCTCACCCAAATAAAGGAAAAAGAGGAAGCAGATGACAAGAACCCGAGGACGGAGTACAAGCTGGCTGGGTTCTTGTACAAAGTGTCTGGAACACCCGGCAAGAGACACATGCCAGGACTGAAGGGTCTTGGCAGCTCACACAAGAAGAGGTGGTTCGTGTACTCTGATAGTGTGTGTAAACTCTTTTATTACAAACAGAAGAATGACCTTGAACCTCTCGGCTCTATTGATATATCACTAGCAACGTTCTTCTTTGACCCTGAGAACAAAAATGAAGGCCAGTTTACTATTAGGTAAAGTATTAAGTTTATGAGAAGGCTGTTACTGTTTCTAGGTAATTTATGACACCATCTCCACTGCTGTGCTTATTTTTATGTATATTCAGTAAGGTTTGTTGTTTCTTTGGTAAACGTTTAGTATTAGCTGTACACTGTTTGTGTACAATTTTAATTTAGGCACAGGATACAGGTATGGCACGGCAGCCTAATGTGCATGCATGGTGGGCAGACTATACAATGATAGTTACTGATATAGCCTTCTTTCTGACTAGCCTAAACTAAACGGTAAAACCTAACCTAAACCTAACCTAATTGATAAAAATCGGTGACAGCACTGCTTTTCAAATGCAACCAAACCTAACCTATCTTAACCTACTAAAATTTGCTGGATGACCAAAACGATAATAATACCAATTAATTTAATCTAACCTAACCATTAACAATACAGTCTGTCAATACATCTGCCGTACTTATATTCAGTGTGATTTTTGGCATATGGCTACTGTACTTGTATCCACAATGTTTAATTTACTGCTTTGACGGGGAAAGGAAGACAGTGGCTCTTTTAAGCTGCCGATGGTGCCTGATGAGTTTGTCCTTTGTTGCCCAACGTTAATACTGGAGGAAACCTGCTATTTTTGGTCAGAACATACTGGATAAGATTCTTTGGTAATACTGTACTTGATGGCCGTGGTGCGCCATTACCTCCAACTTTAGGAAATTTCAGTAATAGTAAATTTTCATTTCACTACTTGCCAGCTTACTAGCCATTTGGGAGGGTGGCCCATTCTTTTGTTGCTTCGCTATGACCTTTATTGTCCAGTGGTGGTACAGGGGGAAACTCTAGTACCCAGAGGAAGCCTGCCACATCTGGTAGTGTCACACTGAGTAACACCCTTCTTATGTATGTGGTCAGAGATATATGCATTATTTCTTACTTCATGGAAATGACAAAAATGTGTGATCGAAATTTTATAATTTCTTTTGGTGCTTTAACGAACATCCAACACCATTTTTTCTTATTGGTGTGTGTGTGTAGGTACAATGTACAGTACCTAAAAAAGAAAATTCTAATAAATTTATTTTGGTTTGGCTAGGTAATACCTGTAGTTTAGGTTGAATTCAGGTTGGATAGTTTGTTTAATTTTATGAATTCTAAATTATAGAATACAGTACCTACAGTATAGCAGTGTCTGTATTTCAGGAATGTTAAGAGTTATTGAGAAGGTCGTCAATAATTTATTGTTCATAAAATGAACCAAATTAAACAACCTAGCAAATGTAAACTTATCTATCCAAAATATTACAGTTGTACGTATTGTATTTTACTACTGGGATATTCTAAAAAAATTAAGAGAACCAGTGGCGGACATGACAGGGTGTTGGTGGTAGAGCGGTAACACGCGTAACTCTCACCAATATGTCAAAGTTTGAGCCTCAGCTGCATGTGTTTAATGCGTGTGTCAGCCACATCGAGATGAGGTGGAATGAGTGGGTTCCTCGAGAAGCACCAGTAACACTGGTGTCCCTCTCACCTTTACACCTCTGTGTGCATTGCAGGGGTTTCGTGCCCCACCTGAGGTACATTACTGACCTGGGGTACACGTACTTGTCCTTCAGAGACTAGAGAAATTCTGCTTAGTTATATTTATGTATGTTAGGGAGGGTCAAAGGAGACACTTAATATAACTTAATTTATTTTATAGGAAATCAGTTAACATTTGTTTATATTTTATACTGTACTCCTATTTTAGCTATTTACTGTGGAGGTGGACACAGTAGACTTGTACAGTATATTCTCATTAAGACACACGGATTAACAATTATGTATGAAAAGCCTTTGCCTTATCCCTGATATTGTATTGCCATAACACCACCGCTCAGTTTGTTCCATAAACCACATGTACCCAGTCTAAACTGAAGAGTCTTAATTCTCAAAGATCACCCATAATTCATTGTTATTTTGCAAACCAATCACTAGAGTTTTCCGAAACCTATAGGCCTTCTTCCTACATTGTGAATGGTCAAATCATATTGTAGATATTGTCAGTGTCAGACACTGGGCACCAATTGACACAGCAGTGTGTTCATCTTGAGGGAGAACTGTTGTCATGACCATTCATGTTGCAATTACTGTATGTTCAGCAGGAGTTGTTAAACACCAGACCAAACCTCTGCCTTACTGTGTTATGAGCATGTGGGCAGCCATGCCTATTCTAACCTAACCTAAAATACTCTAGTTATTGATCATTTGATTGATTTTATTGGGAATTCATCACCTGTGTAATATAGTAAAATACAGTATGGATATGAAGAACAATTTCAAGTACTGTACTGTACTGTAGCATATACTATTATAGTAAAATACATGTAATATTTTACCGAGGGTAACACAAAGTCAGAAGGCTTATTTCCATTTTGGTTCTCAAAAAATATATCATGACAAAGGATGGAAAAGTGAAACATTTTCCATTTAAAAAAAAATATGTTAGTAACATGAAAATAAACTTTTTTATTTCCCTCAAAAGTATAGATGTTAAAGCTCACAAACTAGTCTTAAAACACAAGTTAAAAATATTTTATGTCTAAATTTCTCTTCATTTAGAATAGTGATAATAAATTACACAATACAGTGACAGTCTGATTTAGGCATTAACACACAATTAACCTCTTTTTTTTTCCATGAATACTGTACATATTATTGTTGCAATTCACAAAATTTCCTTAACCCATCAGAATCAAAGACAACAATATATATTATGAAGTAAAAACAAGCTTAGCATATTGCCTAAAATGTTAATTCTTTTATAATTTTTGTAAGAATGCATAGGGGGCCTCATACTCCGGTAGGGTTGGCCATGTCTGTAATAATAATGTCAATAATGAAGACTGTGGTCGTACAACATGTAATAATAATGCTGTGTTGTGTTTAAGGTGTGGCAGTGAGGAGACAGTGTTGGAGGCGTCATCATCACAGACCCGGATGTATTGGCTTCAACAGTTACAAGATGCCCGGAGAGAGTTTAGTCAAAGACGTTCGGCCACAAAGACTCCAACGAGCCGAACTACTTCCACTGTGGTGAGAGCTTGTGTTTAATTTATTTTTTTACTGTAATTCATCATGACAATTTTTTTCTCAATATTAAATGACTCGACTTGATGATTATGCTTAGCATCATATTTTCTTTGTTTTAAATCAACTTTTGTTGAAATTTTATAAGATTGTTTTAAAAGTTAAGATAAGACACACAAGATTCACTGACCAGTATGATAAGGACAGGACACCTGGGTGATGGTTGACAGCAGTCTTACTGTGTCCTGTCAGCATGATGTAAACCTTAGGAGCGATATAATGTTCAATTGAGTTTCTTCTTAGTACCTGTAGTGTCAAATGAATCTGAAAATTATATTGTAGTGTATTACCATTACTTTCTCTGTCTGCAACAAACCCCATAAAGCTTTATATAACAAGAGGAAGTCAAGTACTGTACAGTATATAGCTACAGAAATGTAACTAATTTTCATGTAATATTTTGTAAAAGTCTCGAGTTTTTATGTTAATTTGTGATGATTCTTAATTCACTTTTTTGGGGGTAAATTGAAGCGTCTGGAATCAGGACTCCTCCAAGATGACAAAGGCAGCACCATCCTTACCCCAGACCCCCACCATGACCTCCTGACACCAATGGTGAGGCCCAGTGACTCAGGGATGAGTGATCTTCCCCCACGACCGCCATCTGCTTTGTCTGATGCTCGACTTGCTCTATCAAACTTGATCCCAAACACTCAACGCAAGATATTTAAAACTAATAGTGAATGTAAGTGGAGTGTGCTTGATTATTGACCTTTGTTCCAATATCAGTAAAGCAAGATTTTGTTTAACCAAGCATAACCCTACCTATCCTATCCTACCCTAACCTAACCTAACCAAACCATATGAGTCACTAATGTAAATTCTTGTCATGATCTTGGTATTCACTTTGGAGACTTGTGAAGCATTGTGCACAACCATTATCACCATTATCAGTGAGGGCCTAAGTTTATTTTAATTATATTATATGTATTCAATGCACAACATATAAGTCTTAAATGCAATGTCTGGCAACTCTATATACACAACATCCTCATCTACTCCGTGAAATGTTCTGTTAATTTTTTTTTCGTTTCCTGTCACACCACTCTAACCACCATGAAACATCTTCTGCCATTGTTCCATAAGTTATGAATAATAACAATGTTGTTTTACTCTTATATACATAAAGACATACAGAGAAATGTGAGTCACTGGCAAATCCACATTTTCTCATAGGTATAAAGAGTAATTAGTGCTACTAGCATGTTACACAATCGAAGATCTTTGTTCATAATATTTCGTCCATTGTGTCATATTGTATGACACCATAATTATAAAGTTACTTTTTGTGCTGTGTGTGTGTGTGCGTGCGTGTGTGCGCGCGTGCGTGCGTTTGATAGTTTTAGTTGTCTGTACATTTGGTAATTTGGATTCTCTGTATACTGAGCAACAGTAAGAAGTAACAGGAAAAGGGAAAGAAACCTTTGCTCATATCCACACTGTGTTTTCTTTCTACCAGCCCCTAAATCTCCGACGAGTCCCCAGGCAACGCACCGCAGTCCCATCAACAGCCCCACCGATGACCTCAGTCTTGGAAACATTGGGAGAAAACTTCGTAGCTCATTTCGGGGGAGAAGATCAGCATCTTTAGAAGGGAAAGATGGGTTTGATGGCCCCAACTTACATACCAAAGTTGTGTGCAGGAAGTGTGAAGAGGTATAGTAGTACTGTATTACTTACTTGTAGATGCTGTAGTACTGTACAATATGTCAGTTGCCCTTTATGTGCTGAGAATCTAAGTTACTCTTGATAATCTTGTTCATTGCATGTTACAAGTATTTTTTAAATGTATGTATACAGTATTGACTTTTGGAGTACAATAATTTGGTTGACAAATACTTATTATATGTATGATATATATTTGTATGTTTATTTATAATAGAATATTAGATTGCTTGTATTATTATGCAAAGGGTATTTGCTACATGTATGTATCACTGTGTTCTGAAAGTGAACACTGTGTCAATGTTTAGTCAACCACAAATTTAATTTTATCTGTATTCAAGTTCAAGTGATAAGTTGGCAAGTACAGTATACTGTATAAGACTTATTATTAACCTGACAGCTACGGGGAGAGTTGACATCTGCCAAGGAAGACCTTGCTGCCACTCAGGATGAATATCAAGCATCTCGGGAAGTTATAGATCTTTTACAGAAGGATCTGGACTCTCTACAGCAGGAGAAAGCCACACTGTAAGTCCGGGTCACAATCCCCTCAAATACCATAATGTTAAGGTAATTTGGTCAGAGATACTGATGCCCTGATTACAGGTAATTACGTTTGTATTAATTAATTTACAGTGTTCTGAGAATATGAAACTGGGTTTGACTTCAGTAGTAAATCATTTTGTGTAGATATTGGAGAATATATGAGATATTGTATAATATATGACATAATACATATACTGTATGAGGAGTTAGGTGAAAGAATAAGTCCTTATGGGTGATTGTGGTGCTTCTATTGGTTAAGGTAAGATGTAGTGAATATAATGAGGTACAGGGTTATTTACCCAAGTTTGGGGTGTGAAGTGAGTATATTATTGTGGGTAAGGATATATCATGGGTTATGTAAGGTCACAGTATATGTTAAGGGTTGATGACCTCAGTATATATTAACCCCCAGGCACCAAGCTACGGTAGGCATTACCTCTCCCCATGTGGGTTTGTTTGAGAAAATTTAAAAAACAAATAAAAACATGTGGTGAGGCACGTGAAGTTGAAGGACGAGACTCCTACATCACAAAAAGTGAATCACTACTGAGAAGGGAAGTGTGAGCAAGTGAAAGATAAATGCCAACTTGACAACAAAATCTAGCCAGGTCCTTGCGGCAGCTCAAACAATACCATGAAATTACAATACAGTACTGTATGTCATATGACATGAACCAAAGCCTTGGGGTTAAAGGTTGATGGTCATGGAGATACACAAAAAAATCTGCTTTTGTTAGGTGTTATCTGATTTTGCAATTTTGAAGTGAACTTGTTTTTAATTTCAAAAAACTTTTCCCCACCGCAGGATCAGTTTGGACCGAAGTGACCTGACAGACAGTCATGTTCTGGAGATATTACGGGGGAAGGATCGCCGCATTGTGAACCTGGAGCATGACAATCAGAAGCTGACTAATGATGTTGCCCGACTCACTGAACAAGTCTCGGGTGCTCAGCTGCATGAGGAACATCTGAATGAAAAGCTCTCTATGCTCTATTGCTTAATTGAGGTATTGGCATGTTACATCTTTCTTATTAGGTGGTGTGGTGGCTGAGTTGATACATCACTCACTTCCTCTAAAAGAGTTGCTTCTTTGGCCTGGGGCATCCACAGTTGACCCAGCTGTGAATAGATACGTAACCTTACAGTTAGTCAAGAGCAGTACCTGCCACCACTGTACTATAGTAACATACCCAGTAGTACCTGCCACTATTCTATTATAGTGTAAGTAGCATTATTCAGTCTCCCTTAGTAATTATTTGTATTGTTTCAGGCAAAGGATAAAGCTATAATGAGCTTGACTCATCAGGTAGAGGAAAATGCCACTCACCCTCGACCTATGACACTTCCACCTTTGTCAGCTTTTAAAACACTGGTGGACTCGACTACCCGAGGAACGCAAACCTCCGACATCACAGAGAATGATTCTCTCAAAGATGCCCTAGAAGCTTACCGGTGCCAAAACAGCTTCTTGAATAAAGAAATCCTAGCGCTGAACCTTCTGAGGAACCAAGTGGCTGAGAGGGAGCACAAGTTGATCACGTAGGTCTTTGTTAACTGCATAATTATTATTTTTTATTTTATTTTTTGTCTATGTATGTAATATGTCTCCTGCTTTGTTTTAGGATATTTTTATATAAAAAAAACAATTGAACACAAACTAGGAATATAGAATATAACGTAAGGTTTGTTTCTCAAGACACTCCTCTCATCCATCTGTTTTACAGTATTTATTCTACAGAACCTTCAGTTGTTGGCATCAAAATTATATTTTTCTTTTGGGTCTGATACTCAACCAACACAGATCAGTGAATGCTTCACCAGGTGTTACCAACTGACTCAACACATTAAGGGGACTTGTGGTTCTTGTTGGACATGTGACCATCACCATTCTAACACAGTTGTTCCAAATTTTAGTTACATACAGGTATTTAAATCATCATCAAAAAGGACTAGCTCATATTGTCATTGACCTTTACTTGGATTATAATCATATTCTTGCTATGAATAAAAAGGTTTACCCATACCAGAACAATATCTGTCTTCATGTCTTACCACTTATCATCTTGTTCATAACTTCCTGTGTGTGTGTGTGTATTCATCAGTTTGTGTAAAGGGGAGGACATCCATTAACACAGCCACTGAACACTTATTTGGTTGCTCTTATGTGTCATTTCCTCAACGTTTCCAACACCACACTCCTTCCTGACATTTCTAAAGCATATCATTTCCTCATCTTTTTCATTATCAAACCAACTTCTTCATAATGTTACTCTCTTATATATGATTCATTTCTTTCTCCAAATTCCACCTGAAGTTTTGACATTCTACTCACCATTTTACTAAAAGACTTGGTTTTCTCGGGTATTGAAAAGATTGAGTGCCATTGTATGTTAAAAGATTAAAACCATCTTTCTGTACATGATACTCCTGGCACTCTTAGCTTGTTGAGCCTAGGTGGTGCATCTTGTATTGCTTCTCAGGGTATTGTGTGTGAGGGATGTTAGATGTATGTGATGTTTGAGGAGTGTTATATGTGTGTTTAGTGTGAGATGCATTATTTGTGTTTTGTGAGGTGTGTTATATAAGGTATTTGTTCTTGTGTGAGATGTCGTTATTTGTGTGTTTAGTCTGAGATGTGTAATATGTGTTTAGTATGAGTTTTGTGGTGTGTTAAATGTGTGTTTAGTGTGAGTTGTGGTGTTTTATATGTGTTTAGTATGAGTTGTTAGGTGTGTTATATACCGTATGTGTGTAATGTGAGCTGTGAGGTGTGTTATAAATGTGTTAAGTATGAGCTCTGTTATAGTGTTTAGTGTGAATTGTGAAATGTGTTCAAGTATATGTCTCCTGTGCTTAGGATATCTTATTGACCGTAAAAAAAATTACTCACTTAAGAGTCAACGAAATGTGGGTAAAAATATATAAATATATTTCTTTTAAAGCCATGTGGAGATAAAAGATACCAGGAGGACAATCTTTAACCCAAGGATGGTTATATGATGTGTGGCGATGGAAGGCTGAGTGCTATACAAAATCTTATATTGTGTCTTAAGCTAACTTCTTTACTTCAGAGAGTCTAGTGAATGGGAAGCCAAGTTCTATCAGATTCAAAGCAAATACTTACTGCTGTTGAATGAGCTGCATTCTCCCCGAGCCAATCAACATGACCCATCCATCGTATCCCGGCTGCTTCAGGATGTGGTAGAGGCCCATGGCCAACCAGACCTGAGGTACAGTATGATTCATTGTATCTTATCAGTATGTTAGTGTCTCGCTTGTTATTTTTCCTTGAGGGGATGGACGTGTGGTAGAGGCTCATGACCCACCAGGCCTAAAGGGGATGGCCATGTGATAGAGGCTCATGGTCAAGGAAGAAAGACCTTGATATACAGTATATTTGATATATGCCTTACAGATTTTTCAGGTGATCTCACTTGTTGATGTACAAGGTCTCCCACATCAACAAGTGAGGGCATTGTTGCTGTTGTAATAAAAACATTCATGTGATCATAATGAAAATTTGTAAGGCATGTGTGTGTGTGTACATATTTTTTATACAGCCCATATATCATGATTCTGTAAATCTATCACTACATCTTGTTTGTTTGTTCCATTACAAAATTTTTCCTAGTGTAACAGCCATCATGGAAAATCCTTAAAGTTGTTCCATTTTCATATTCCTCTTAGTTTGATTCCTCACATTCATTCTAATTATCTTGTCTGTCTGTATTCTTCCACTTCCTCCCACCACTCTTTGCAGCCCATCCTTGGTCGAATAGCCTTACTGTTTATCATAGTTTTTATACTTGCACTGTCCAGGTACATTGGAAATTGTATACCTGCTCTATTTATGTACACTGTATATCTGCATGGTCTATATACGTGCTGAAGTGTACTATAAATTTATTGTCTATATAAGCTGAACCACTTGTAAACTTATATGATGATTTTACTGAATAAATATATCTGTCTAAGGCATGAATCTTAAGAGTAATTGTAGAAGGAAGTAAACAAGTATAGGAGGGAGACTACGAGGAAGAGAGGCGTATTAGATAAAGATGGCACATGAGATTGCTTGATTGTGAGAGAGAACGTGTCAGAGATGGAAAGAATATTTTTAGTCTTAACCAGAAATCTCTATAGTGTGCTACTTGTTGTGCACACTTTAACCAGATGTTAATATGGGGAGTGTGTTAGTTGTAATGGCAGAGAAATTGAAATTCATTATCTGTAGAATATATAGTTTTAAGTAGTTTATTTAGTGTGGATAGTTTGCTACATATTAACTTTATCTATTTTCATTATACAGTTACAAGGTGCCCATGAATTATCTGACCTATTTTCAAACTTAGTAATCTCATAAATACCCTAGATAGAACACACAGCACATGTGGAAGTTTACTAAGACAAGTATAGCAAAACAAGCAATGTTGAAAATGGGCCAGATAATTTATTGACACCCTGTACGTTATATCTTGAAATTGTAATAAGGACAGTTGAAATTAATAAAGCTTGGATTTGTGTAGAGTGATTCAGAACAAAGGTCGTGAGTATGACGAGTACGGGTTCTGCACGACAGCGCCTGATGACTGCAGTTTACAGTCTAAAGCCAGTTATCTCCAGAAGCAGTCCCAGGTCCTTGCTCATCAGGTGCAGGTAACTATAGTGCATTTTTTCTCACCTGCGAAAAGATGCCCTGCCCCCTCCTCAAGAGTTACAGTTGATTGGCAAACCTGTCAGATTTTGTCCTTGAGTAATGATGTATTTCTAAATGACTTTATTCATAATCGTTGGGATGACCGTTTCTGAGGAGAAAAATATTTAGCTAAATTATATAAAGATACATACATTCATTATTTCAAACATAAGCACGTAGGAAGCTTATCAGAAGTATTATACATGAATTGATTCTTAAACTCTGGTAGCAAATTCCTGCTTTCGGAGGATGCATTTATTATATACAGTGGTTCCTCGGTTAACGAACGGTTCGATTAACGAAATTTCGGTTAACGAAGTACCTCCCATAAGGATCTTCAATTCGGTTAACGAACAAAACTTTGATTAATGAAATCCTTACGAACATCACGTTTTGTTGTGAGCATCAGCTGATGGGCTAGTCTGCCAATTTAGTAATCTGCTCTATGTTTACCTTCGTTTCCAGTTGAGTAAATATCAAGAAAGTTGTGCTCTTTAATATTTTTGCATTTTTTATATTAAAATTATTAGTCATTTTAACATTTATTTAACATATTGATAATATATGCAGTACAGGGAACTAGTTTTTTGTGTGCCCATCAGACTCTTGACTCAGCCACCAGGCGTCAGTTGGGCTTTGTTGACAGTGGAGTGAACATCTATTTTGTTGGTGTCTTGAATATTTTTGCATTTTTACATTGAAATTATTGGTCATTTTGAAATTTAGTTAACATATTGATAATATATAGTGCAGTGCAGTGTTGATTTAAATAAATTTATCTTGAATTACACCTAGTGATCTTAAAATTTTATTGGTGAAATGACGGCATCAGGCAATGGTCCCCTGAAAGGTGATTTCTCTTCCATCCCCACTTCCTTCTCTTCTCCCTTCTCCTCCACCCCCACTTCTAATTCCCATCATCATCATCATAAACTAGAAACCTTCTACATACACACCTCAAAGTAAGTGTACTTTACTGCATTTTTTTTTTTACTTTGTATGTACTTTTCGGTGAGCTGGAACCAATTACCCAATATCCCATTGAAACAATGGATTCGGTTAACGGAATTTTTGGTTAACGAACGACCCTCTGGAAAGAATTGTGTTCGTTAACCGAGGGACCACTGTACTTATTTTTAACCCACAGTAAGGCATACTAAGACAAATTACGTATCAGTAATACTACATTATGCAAAAACAACATTTTTAAAGATCAGAATCACATCAAAATATTACACGACAGTTCGCACAGGCGGGAAAAATATGAAGTTGTACTAAATTTAATTTTTGTAAGAATCTTGTTGCTTGACAACACTCCATAAAATGTGTGTTAAACTTCCTTTAGACAGTATATGTGTACAGTATACATGTGTGAGTTTTGTATTTGTAGAGAAATATAGTTACCTGTATATTAGTACTGTGACAATACTGTACTGTGTTACAGCATAATGGAAGTTCCTGGGAGAATAGGTGGGAGAGCTTCCTAGCAGGAACTAGTGCCAAGGAATTGCCACACTGTACTGAGCTCAAGTTCCTCATACGAGGAGGAATTCCTTACCAGTATAAGGTGAGTTTTGGCACTTGTTGTATATGGTAAATAGAACAGTACAGTATATGTATATATTATTACACCCTTCACAATATGACAACATAATGTTTTCTAGACATTTTGAAGGTTACTGGAGCAACACTTTCAAGTATTACACTGTGATTCTCTTGCTGGCAGCCCTGGAGTTATGTTAACAACTGTTATTTATGAGAAAATAAACAAGAGAGAGTATCATAAATTATGGATATATTAGCTATACTCTGGGGTAAGTGGGGAGCAGCCTTCATTGTGCATCATACAAAAAATAGTATAAATTATATACATATGTTAATCTATTACAGGGTAAAGTGTGGCGGCTCCTGATTTATTCTCAAATAAATCCTTTGAAGGCTGCGCTCCCCTCAAATTATTATAATGATCTGCTCGCCCGACGCACAACATCTTCTACCCTGGGCGCCGCTGCCAAACAAGTAAGATATTTGAGCTTTACTGTTGATAACCTCCAGTGATGATGGTTATGGTGGTGATGAGGGTATGGTGGTGGTGTTGGCATTGATGATGATGTTGGTGATGATGATGAGGTTGATGGTGATTATAGTGGTGATGATGATGAGGGTGATGGTGATAATAGTGGTGCTGATGTAACCTAAATCACAAGGTTGGAGCTGCCTTGTGGTGTACCATCTCCAGGAATGATTAATACAATAGTAGAAGTGTACATAATGCCACCTTCACACACACACACCAATAAGGGATTCCTTTGCCTGGTTGAGTACTGACTGTAAGTTCTCTTTTCAGATTGAACTGGACTTGTTGAGAACGCTGCCGAACAACCGCCACTATGAATCCTTCCACTCAGATGGTATAGCGAGGTTGAGGAGGGTGTTGCTGGCTTATTCCCGCCATAATCCCGATGTTGGGTATTGTCAGGTGAGCCACACGGTCATATTGCATACATTATGATTTTATGTTTTAACCTGTCAACTTGTTTACCTTTCTACCAACTCTGCTTATCTATCTGTTCTTCCATCCATGTAGCTACCTGTTGTACCATCCATGTTTTAACCTGTCTTTCTATCCAGGTAATTGTCCACATCCAGCGCCTGACCCCATATCCTGCATGTCAGACCCCCCTCAACCATCCTGAATATTCCATGGCTCATATTTCTCATAATGATCTGAACAATATTTTGTTTTAGTCGTTCCAACAGTCTGGGTCATTAGTACTGCTCCTCTGTTGTACCAGTTGCTCATTATAGAGTCCAAGTATTTAGATTTTCTTAGTCACCAGTACATCACCTCCCCATTATGTTCATGCAAGTAACAAACTATACTTCGATATTTACATTTACAGTTACAAAACAAGAAGTGTTTACCGAGTCCTCTCTCAGTCTAGCACCTACCAGCAGTCTTGTTCAGTCTTTTTGGCTTTTTCAGTTTTACACATTTACTACTGCTTGTAATGGGGATTTTGGTGGTTTAGTAACTTAATACTTTGTAGTTCACTTAGGTAATGTCTAATTATATCTCATTTCACCTTTAATCTCTGATTTCAGGGTCTGAACCGGCTAGTTGCCATAGCTTTACTGTTCCTCAATGAAGAGGATGCTTTCTGGAGTCTGGTGTACATTGTGGAGTACTTGATGCCACCTGATTACTATAACAAGAACCTCTTAGGGTCTCAAGTGGATCAGGTAAGACAAATTAAGGAAGTGACCTTATTATTAGTTGTGTAACAGATACAGGTACAGTAATAACATATTTGGTGCACATGATAAAGAAATAGGAAGTCAGTTACAGGGCCAATCAGCTGTGCAATTGGTAATGCCATACAGTATTACATAAATGTATTACCAGATGCAGTTGTTACATAATATTAAGATTTTTTTTCATTAAATGTTTGGCAGCCTATTGGTCAACTCATACTAATGGAAAAATTCTCTTAACTCTTCAGCGAGTCTTGAAGGATTTGGTCAGCGAGAAACTACCTCGACTTAATGCTCACCTAGATCATCACGGACTTGATATATCGCTCTTTACCTTCAACTGGTTCCTGTGTGTCTACATTGATATTATTCCGCCAATTACCTACCTCACAGTCTGGGATTCTTTTTTATATGAGGGATCTAAGGTGAGTCTCTATTGGGTATCATTCTGTTACAAATCAGTTAAATTATATAAGTATGGAATAAAATTTTGTCTCCAATACCAAAAGATTAATAGTTTAAAGTCTGTAGCTCATTTCTTGACCATTCTCTACGGCTTTTACAAGTTATTGTTGTTGTATTCTGTAACTCTCACCCATGCAACTTCTCATGTCTTTAACTACAATCTTACTGACACTTGTAATTTTTGAACCCTCCCAATGCCTTCATGATGACTAGAAATGAGCAGATACACACATATACATTATCTCTTCATTCATAATTCATGGATCATTTTTCAGGTGGTCCATGGAAAAGCCAAAATAAATTCAAATAAACATTACAACGTAGTTTTAATTGGATCGTAACAAATTATATTTACTTTCATTTTTATTAGTAATATTCTTAGCTCTGGTAGCATGTGAGTCTTCTGTGTAAACCGTACTGAGAACCCCTGCCATGTTACCTCCACCACCAGGCCTCTTATTTATGCTGTAGATATAAAGGAAAATAAAGATATTTGCCCTCTCTCTCTTCACAGGTTCTCTTTCGTTATGCTCTTGCCATATTCAAGTTGTGTGAAGAGGGAGTTTTGGAAAGAGCTGACTACATGGAGATTTTTAATTACCTCCGCTCTGTCCCGGAACCCATCACAGACATCCCCAAGTTACAGGAGGTGAGTACAGTATACAATATTTGTAGAGTTTTACTTATTTTTAAAGGCAGGTGTTGTGTTTAACTATTTGTTTACTCTTAAATGGGGGCCATTATCTGTGGAAGTTAACTGTTAGGACAGTGGCCATCATTTGTGGAAGTTAGCTGAAAGGACAGTGGCCATCATTTGTGGAAGTTAGCTGTAAAGACATTGGCCATCATCTGTGGAAGCTGGCTGTAAGGACAGTGGCCATCATCTGTGGAAGCTACCTGTAAGGACAATGGCCATCAACTATGGAAGCTAGCTGTAAAGATATTGACCATCATCTGTGATTAAAATTACCTTAAATAATATTTTTAGGATATCAAAAAGGTATGTAACAGGTCTCAGCTGCTGATTTGATTCTTTGAATGCATGAAGTATGTTGTGTTAGTGTATTTGTTATTTGTCACAGTTTGTATCATACATATATAAAAGGCATGGGTAAAAAAAAATTTAGGTCCTTGCTTACATGTAACATTCTAGAGTGGAGTCAGCTTCAGTTATGTGGGCATCGTGTCACAGGCAGAATGAGATGGATAGTTTAGGGATGAATTTTCTTTGGGGTGCAACTGAAAGTCAATTTATTGAAAGACATTTTATTGCTCCAAAATTTTTGACATATCAGCATGTAAGTAAATACAAATCGTGGTTGAGTTATGGTATGCCAAGAAGAGTAGGGAGCTTTAATACACTGGCTTCTACGGATAGATAAATCAAAGTGTTTACTGTGAACCTGCCTTAACTCTGATACAGTCCAACAAGTACCAGCTAGGTAACCTTGTTCATCCCTGTGAGACAAGGGCCATACAAAGCTAGTTTGGGGAAGGACAAGTAAAAAGTTAGCATCACTTTGAAATATCTGTTGTATTCTATCAAACAGACTTCAGAATCTAGGTGGACATTAGTAGCACAACAAGAAACATTTCTGCCACAATTCTTATACACTACAGTACAGTATAGTACAGGCTGAGAGTGAGTCAGAGAGAGTGTGTTGTTCCTAATGTTGTACCTCAAATGTTCTTGTTACTTAACCTCACACTTGACCTCACTCTAGATCTGATAGATGGAGGTTTTTTCCTTATGGAGTGTAAACGTTTTTTTTTTTATGTATTAGTCGTTAAGTGGGTTGATCCCTATAATACTTAAGTTTTGACATATACTTAATTGGAATGTTAAAACTACAGACATATAGTTTGATTATTTGTTCCTACTTGCACCACAACTCAAGCACTGTCTAAGAATGATGGCTGGAAGTGTAGTATGTATGGTGCAAGGGCAACAGAAGGGTCTATTGTCACCATACAGGAGACCTATAACATGTATCGTTTATCTAAGTCTAAACTAATTCTCAACAGAACCAGAAACAGATCAGATATTTCTTTTACATATCGTAAGTATCTATACATCTTTATATAATATTTTTAAAAGCTTACGAGTTCATAGGGAAAATGTGGAGAATACTGGAAATAATTTTGTCATGAGCCATCACATCACACCAGTGGAATGTTTTATTCAGCACACATATGGTAAAAGAATAGCTGCTTAAGACAGCTGGTTCTGGTATAAATATTTTAATGATAATCTTAATTATTTGACACTATAATCAGTGCCCCTGTATAACACACTTGATATTGGTTACATTACATTATTTAACACATTCTATGTTGTAACTACAGTACTGTACCATACTCAGCTGGCCTTGGCTATATTAATGTTGAAACAAGTTATTTTTTAATGTACACCTGTATAGACAAATGGTTCAGTTGACAGTACAGATTGTTTTGTTGTTTAGTTTGATAATCATTAGTAATTTCTGATGTACTGTATGATGTATAAGATTATCAGCAATAATTTTACAATTAGTTGGCAGTAAAGTGATTGTTATCCTTTGAAAGTTTATTGGTGTAGTGCGGGGGCTTGTGAGGGATCACTGTGGGAGAAGTTTCAAAGTGTATCATCATCTCTCCACATAGTATTTGTGCTCAGTGTGACAACCTTGGATTTTTTTATAACTTGGTTCACTATTTGTCTTGGTACTGATGAACTAAATCTAATGCTAGTTTTAATTAGCATTAGGTTTTGTCATGGCATTGATTATCTTAACTTAATCCTAGTTATAATTTGTGTCAGTTTGTCATGGAAGTGATGTGTTACACATGGCTGGTTGTTGTGGTTGTCTCAAGGATGATAAGTTGGCAACAGTTCTATCCAAGTAATGAAAGTGTTTTGTTATTAATGAATCGTATAAGTGAGAGCGCAACCACAGATGTGTGCTGAATATCCAGTTTGAAGTATAACTTTTTAAGTACAGTAAAGCACTTGATCTAGGTATCCTCAGGTGTGAGGACCATCACTTTACCTTTACTCACATGAGCTTCACGCAGTAGTTATACGAGAGAAGTTAAAGGAGTGATAAGTTATATTACATTTATATATATTTATATATATATTGCCCCTACTTGAAGGTAAACTGACATCTTTGACATGTCAGAGTCAGTTCTTGAAAAAGATTGATATTTTGTTAGATTCGATTTTAAGAGCATAATTTTTTCCATTGAAGTTACATGATGATAATGTAATTAAATTCACAGAATTTTAATTTTTCTTTAAAAATTTAAGTCTAATGACTTTAATTACTGATGGTCTATAACTAGATAAAAAAAAATTAAAAGGAGAATATGCTACAGTAAGAAATATCTTAATGATATACCTGGAGATAATTTTCCTATTTATTCCCAGATGCTGAAAAATACTTCATGACAAGTTCTTGATAAACTCTTGTGCTTGGAAAAGTTTCATAAACTTTACTCAGTGTAAATTATTTTTCTTAGCTGTGTATTATCATGTACTCTCTGAGGGACCAATAAGGGCTCGTGCAGATAAATCAATAAAATTTGGCATATCGTTGACAAAACTAGACCTGTAATTGATAATACTGTAATTATTAACTTTTAGCTATGTTTGCCATATTCTCCTTTGTGTTGTTAGAGCCAGAGATTTACAGCTTCTTGGCAATCTGAGCTCGGTGCAGAGCCTTATTCCGCTTCTCACGCCTGTCCCTCTTCTCCTTCAGCTTGTCCTTTACCTTATCCTTACGTACAGACTTCTTCCAGCCGTGCTTCTTTGGGCTGTACTTCTTAGGAGGCCTGTGGGCCTTAGCCTTAGTAGATGGGGTACTTCCCTCTTCCTGTGAGGAAGGTGCAGCGGGGGAAGGTTTGTGATGTGTCTTGTTAACCCTGTGTGCCTTAGGGGGCCGGGCTGTTACGTGGATTAGCCTCTCTGACTCCATGGGAATATCATCCTGTTAAGAGAGAGACAATAATGTAACTGTTGGTATAAACAAGGTATGTGGTAGAGTGGCAGTCTTGTACAGCTTAACCCATCTATAGTAGAAGAATAGGTGTTGTTAATTTACAGGTTTGTATTGTAAGGAGATAGTGAAAGAAGATTGTTATTTGTGAAGCAACATATTTGTTTTGTGTGTTAAACAAATACAACTTTATCCCCATCCTTACTATATGGTAGAAGCTTCTGCAGTATGATGGCAAAATACATACTTAATGGAGGTAAAGTATATGATTTGTGGAAAATATGTTATTTTACAGTACAGTATACTGAACTGAAACGTTGAAAACTCAGTTAAGAAGTGTTAAATCAAATAAAAAAATTTACATTACAAAAATATATACAGTATATAAATCAATTCTTCTTTTCACTATCACATACTGTATTACCAAAAATTACATATTACAGCTGCATACAAAATGAAAGCTGAAAATACACATAAAGGCAACTGATACATAGAAAATGGGAAAAAATTCTAATACAGAAGGTAAACAAAACCCGTAAAACAGTTGAGAGTCGTAGGACACACGGTGAGTGCAAAAAACACACTGGCTGAAAAAAAAAAGTTTGAGAAGAGTCGACAAACCAAACAACACCAAAGGAAAGAAAATTATTGAAGAAGCGCCGCCACAAGAAGAAGACAAACACTTGTGGGAGAAAGAGTCTTCTACCTTGGTGCCATTCTTGCCCTTGCCTCCGGTCTTGTGCTGGTCGCTGGTGTTGGTGGCGGAGGATACCTGGGGCGTGCGGTTGGTGAGGAGGTGGGTGGCTGTGGCGTCTCCACCACGGGGCACTCTGTTGGTTATAAGGTGCTTCCCTACTGCCTCATCCCTCCTTGGCTGTTACAAGAGGACCTTATATTAGCAGACCCTTGTGTTGAGTGTGTGTGTGTGAGAGAGAGAGAGAGTTGGTGATGTGTGTGTGAGGTCGTGATGTATGATATTCAGTACTGTAATGGGATGTTGTATAAATACATTATACAAATAACTGTGTACAGTGCAGCACTTAAAACTAAATTCGTATGAGGGAGGAAGGTCAGTAAGTGTTGGTGAACTTTTCTCATGTGTAAAATGTTGAACAGGGTACAACAGAGAACAGTCCCCACATGCTGTAAGAACAACCCTGTGCAGGTACTGTACTTGAGGTTATGATCTTTTTGTCTGAGTCTGTTTGTCTTTATCTATCTATCACCACAAGTCTATTACCTGAAAATTTAGAGTTGCAAGGACCCAGATCATTATTGACAGGAAGGAACTATATTGAAAATTAGTCTGCCTTCTTTTCACACCCTTATTTTTTAATAAGAAAACTAGGTAGTGTGGATGATGAGAGTTCCCACTTAGGGTTAAAGGGCAGGAGTCTTCACCATCATCGACTACACTCACCACTGGACTATAAATGATGGATTAATCTTGTAATGTCATTTATAATCAAGTGTAGATTAGGTCACTTACATTTCCTCCTTCTGTGTGCTGCTGAGGTGAGTGGGAACTGGGGAGTTGAATCACTAAATACTGGACTTTCTACCTGGTCAACATACAGTATACTGTGTCCAGTATAAGGGTGGAGAAGCAGGTGTGTTAGAGGGTGAGAACTGCCTGGGTGATAAGGGATGACTTTCTCCTCCCACAATGCTCTTGTACTAAAGGATAAAGTTACAAAGGGAAGGTCAACTGGTTTTGTATTAGTTCTAGTCAACTATGTCAGGTTCTGGGACCTTTGTTTCTTCAACCTGTACAGGTGTATGGCTGTACTTGGCTTACCTGGACAGATGTGTGGCTATACTTGACTCACCTGATCTAATCTTGGCTATCAGATAGTGTTTAAAGAGTAACGCCTCATGTTCCAGGAAAAGATATGATTCCTATGTCAATTAGTATTGTAAGATGTGAGTTAGTCATGATTATGACATGGTTATTTGTGTTCTGTCTTGGGGACACAGCTCCATCTGTGTTATCACTGCCCCAGAGAAGTTGTCCAATAAGCTGTTCATTCCTGTGTTCACTTAGTCTAATGGAACAATTCTTCACATCATTTTGGAATACAGTATAATGATACTCCATTATTAATTATTTAACTGAATTATAAGGCTGTTCATAATCATCATTATGAATGATAATGAATTATATGATATGATAATATAATGTTAAATAGTGTAGCTAGACTATTTCACTTGTAGTCACTGCCATTCAGTAAGTGTAGTGGCTACAACACTGTCTTGTATTATAATTATTTTTTTTAGTAAGTAAGATAATTTTAAGTGTTGATAATGTGTCACCAGCATAACATTTAGTTATACTGATGCTACAGTATTGTACTGTTAATTATTTACACACTAGGCTATCAGGAAGGGAAATACCTCTTATCAAAATACTTGTAATTATAAAACAAATATTACTGATTATAATATAGCCAGTGTTTTTATTTATGTATGAAATAATTATTAATCTCATGCAGGTACAGTACAGTACAGCACACTGCAGTACATTTTGTCAGGGGTATACTGTACTGAACAGTTATTTATTATCATATGGCAATACAGGTAGTCATTATGTTGTGGTGACCGGACATTTGATATGATTGTGGGGTTCGGTAGTTAGAATTTATCTGCAGTGTACAGATGTGCACACATGTGTACACAAAAATATGTGACTGTTGACACATATCTCCCAGGGTGTGTCAACATTGATGTTATATTGACAGTGTTAGTATAACTTGTGGTGTATGTGTTGTGGTGGTGTGGGTGTTGTAGTGGTGTGGGTGTTGTAGTGGTGTGTCACACAGGGAGACAGGGTGTGGTAGGGTTCTAGCTAAGAGTACTGTAGATGATACACAAATGGTCATTGGCTGAAATTAAACAGTAAGCCTTGGTGTTATTTGCTGAGGAAACACATACACACATTATGTGCCCCGGTGCAACCAATGAGTTACCTTGTGAAGAAATGTGCACAACTGGTCTTTAGTTATTGTTTTATATAGTATTACAGTAGTGTGGTGTGGAAAATGTCATTCTTTTCACACCATAACAGTTATTAATGGTTCATGGTAGGTGAAAATGTGTTTGGGAGAAAAAAGTTATTTACAGTGTCCATATCCGGATTCAGATGTGGTGTTTAATAGGTTCTGTGACTGGTGATTAGTAAACATGCAATGGTGTGTCAGAAAATGTAGCACTACAGGGTGGTTGCTCCATTATCTGACCCATATTAAAAAGTAATAACTCCAGAAATTGTACAGGTAGAAGTCATTGGTTTTATTATACTTGAGGGACAACTCATATATTTATTTTACTTGTCTTAGTAGACTTCCACATGTGCACCGTGGAAGGGTTTAAGGCTCACTGACCTCTTAAGAAGGTTGAGATGCTGGGGCAGGCCATTAGGTAATCCAGGGTTATATTGGGTCATACTTGGTGTCACGGGAAAGGAGGTGAGGGATGGTGATGTGTGACTGATACTTGCAAATTGAAATACAACTTGTAATCTTGATAAACAACTTGCCAGATTGTTATACACTTATGACATTGCCATACAACTAGCAACATTGCCATTTAACTTGCCATATTGCTTTACAATTAGCAACATTGCCATACAATCTGCAACATTGAAAGACAACTTGTAACGTGTTGAAGGCGACATCATACCGTGGGAAGATGGTGAGAGCTACATCATATCAGGTTTAACGTGTAGGGTGATAATATAAGGGGCTACACACACACACACACGGGGATACATGACTCCTTTGGTGTATCACGTGTGTGTGTGTGTGTGTCCTCGACTGGCAGTTATAAGATCTATTTTTTATTTATTTATTTACATGTATTTATTTATTTTTTACGTTAGTGAGGGTGGTAGTATTATAGCTTGTTGTCCCAGCATAGAGAGTAGACGAGTTTGGTGACGGTGACCCGGACGTCTCTCTCTCTCTCTCTCTGTTTTTATTGGTCAGTTTGTTCCGTTAACTTATTTCTTATATTTACTTCCATTTACCATATCCCTGTTTGTCTATTTATTTTATTTCTCTCTTTATTTGTCTCTGTTTTCCCCTCTGTTTATTTCTCTCTCTATAATTCTCTTGTTTTGTCTTCTCTGTTTATTTTGGTCTATTTTCCTCCTATTTATTTCATTATCTTTGTGTCTCCATCGTTCTCTGCCTCACCCTACCCGTCTCTTTTTAAGTATATTTGGGTATAATTGTTTGTAGAATTCCTCTATTTCCTCTTTTATTAAATTTTGTCTCTTCCTTACTTTTATTATATTTTTATTGTCATTATTCTTCTATATCGCATTTTATTATTTTTATTGTTTATTTTTGGCATATTTTGTGTTATTTTTGTTGTCTTTCGTTATTCATTTCTTTTGTCTGTTTCATGTTTATTATTATTATTATTATTATTATTATTATTATTATTATTATTATTATTATTATTATTATTATTGTTGTTGTTGTTGTTGGTCTCGTTTTTTCCCTTCATTATCAGTTTATTTTGTTGTATATTTTTTGTTGCTATATATTTTGTCTTTATGTTATGCTTTTGTAGTATGAGTGAGACCATAAGGGAGGTGGGAGGGAGGGAGGGAAGGATGATGGGAGAGAGGTGCGAGGAAGGAGGAATGGGGGAAGGACAAATAGAGGTAAATAGAAGGAAAGTTGAAGTATATACTGGCTTGGATGTTGATGACGTCACAGCCTTACCTGACTCTCATAAGCTGACCCGAGTGTGACGTCACATCAGGATATAGACAGACAGACAGACAGACACTAACCTTATCTTCGTGTTTCTTTTCAATGTTGTGTTCGGTGATGTGTTGTAGCTGCAGTTCCTTCTTGAGGTCGTGCTGTCCAGCCGATCCTCGGTGTACGGACCCTGTGCCACCGTTACCACCCCTGTGCATGGCTCCCTTACGTGCCTCGGCCTTGTGTAAGGCGCCTTCAGTAGTCCTGTGGGGCTGGGCGTGGTGCATGGCGTCATGGGTAGGCACCTCCTTCTTATGTACCACCTCCGCACGGTGCTGCTCAGGCTTGTGGGCAGGGCCGTGTTCCCCTGGAGGAGTAGGAGGAAGAGGAGGTGTTAATGGTTTATGTCAACTTGGGGTGACAATATACATAGATTTTACTGCATTAAGTGTAGTGCAAGACACGCCCTCCGCCTTCATATACCCTTTATATATACAGTCTAGTGGTCGATAATAGTACAAGTGTTTGTGGTAAGTTGTGTGTAAACCTCAGTCAGTCTTACTAGGGGTCATGACACTAGCGGACGTCAGTGAAGGGAAATTTTACGAGATACATATTACATTTTTTTCCGTGGGTAAACATTGGCTTTTATTATATGTAAGAGGATAATATTTCCACAAAACTAAATACACAACAAATATTACAACATAACACGACGGACAAGATTCTATTTACTCTTATTAAAGAACATGTCAAGGCGGACTCCATGACTCCTGTTAAGATTTGTTTTGCTTCTGTCCGTGTTGTTTTGTTCAAAGAAAAGTTTATTTTAGGAATTATTTAAAGTATTCGGGAAGTATTGTCGTTAATGGTGTTTTAATTGAACAAACACTTACAGTTCATTCACCAAGTAATAATTACAGTGTATAAAATGATACAGTGGAGGGAGCTTAAGAGGCGGTGATCATGCCTGGTGTTTTAAAGAGGCAATTGGTGTGTGAGTGTGCGTGTGTGACCTTGATGGACCTCCAGTGTATGTGTGTCTTTGTTTACTGGTGTGTGTGCGTCCGATCAACGAAGTTAATTAAACGTTGGGTGTGGTTAGTACTTGGACGGGTGTGCATGATCGCCTGGGAACACCGAGATGATGATGACGATGACGATGACGTGATAAAGACTTTAAGACCTTACTGGAAATAACTATCTGATGGCTTTGTTTGGCTGTCCTTGGTCAAATTAACTAAATATAAATTACAATTATTATTTTTTATTATGTTAGTATGTGGGAATGTATGTGTACTGTATGTATGTTTATGAATGAATGTATGTAATGTAATGTAATGCATGCATGTATGTATGTATGTGTGTCTATGTATGTATGTAATGTATGTATGTTTGTAATGTATGCATGTATGTATTTATGTGTGTGTGTGTTTATGTATGTACGTCAGGTGGTGGTGGTGGGAAACAGTTTAAATAGATATATTAATTAGCCACATTAACACTGTCTTCACCACAATGACTCAGCAGTACACAGGACACTGGCCGGGCGCCCTCTCCTACATTCATACATTTATCTCATGACTGGTGGCGTGAGAACTGTCTCCCTCTTAAGCTGGCGACCAAGCTGGCGTCCAAGATGGCGTCTCAATTGCCCCAAGACTCGAGAGGTGGTAAAGAGTAGCGTGGGTATAATGATACTTGTATATACGGCGTTGTGATTGGCTGTGCTCCTTCATGACTTATATGCGGTGTTGTGATTGGCTGTGGTGTGATATCTTGTTCCTTCATGACTTGTATACGGTGCTGTGATTGGTTGTGGCTGTGGGGTGATATCTTGCTCCTTCATGACTTGTGATTGGCTGAGGTATTATTAAGACTTGTAAATCGGTGCTGTAATTGGTTTTTAAAAGGCGATTTGTGTGTGTGTGTGTGTGTGTGTGTTAAATTATAGTGGTGTAAGCGACCCCCAGCACGCCACTAACACCCCTCACCCTACTACACAAGGTCACCCCTGTAGGTTCATGGCTCGTTATGTAGTCTTCCGCTCTCCTTGGGGGGGGGGGTGAAATGTCTCTTTTGCCGTTATCATCCGTTCGTCTGTCTTTCCGTCCGTCCGTCCGTCCGTCTGTCTTTCCGTCCATCCTTCCGGAAGTTGGGAACACGTCAGATCAAACTGATAATTAATATATACTGATATTTTGGCCACATCCTGTCTATTATTTAATCAGTAGGAGAAGGAGGAGGAAGGGAACAGGAGGAAGAAAGAGGAGGAGGGAGGGGGGAGCAGGAGGAAGAAAGAGGAGGAGGAGGGGTAGCAGGAGGAAGAAGAGGGAGGAGGGGAGCAGGAGGAGGGGGGAGCAGGAGGGAAGAAGAGGAGGAGGAGGAGGAGCAGGAGGAAGAAGAGGAGGAGGAGGAGGGTGGGAGGAAGAAAGGGGAGGAGGGGAGCAGGAGGGAAGAGAAGAGGAGGAGGAGGGGGCAGGAGGAAGAAAGAGGAGGAGGAGGGAGCAGGAGGAAGAAGACGAGGGAGGGGAGCAGGAGGAAGAAGGGGAGGAGGGGGAGCAGGAGGGAAGAAGAGGAGGAGGAGGGAGCAGGAGGAAGAAGAGGAGGAGCAGGGAGGAAGAAGAGGGGGAGCAGGAGGAAGAGAGGAGGAGGAGCAGGAGGAAGAAGAGGAGGAGGGGGGAGCAGGAGGAGAAGAAGAGAGGGAGGAAGGAGAGGAGGAGGGAGCAGGAGGAAGAAAAGGAGGGACGTGCCAGGGATTTGTTATAAGCAATATCCTGTTGAGGTGGATCAGGCAGCAACCCTCACACACACACACACACACACACACACACACACACACACACACACACACACACACACACACACACTATCACCCTTACACACCCACACTATCACACCCTCTCTCCTAAATCGACACACTCTACCACACCCTTACTCCTACACCCACACACTCTACCACACCCTCACACTCTACCACACCCACACACTCTACCACACCCTCACACACCCTGACTCCAACACCCAACGGCTAGGGTTATTAAGCACCGTTCACTATAGGTCTCAGTTAAAGGTGTGTGTGTGTGTGTGTGTGTGTGTGTGTGTGTGTGTGTGTGTGTGTGTGTGTGTGTGTGTGACCTTGACCTATAGTTGTTAAGGTCATGGGGGGGGGAAGGTCATATGGTCTGGTGATATCATGTGTTTATTTCTGGGAAGGAAGATGAGTGTGTGTTTGTCGTGTTGTTGTTGTGTTTGTTTGTGGGAAGGAAGATGAGTGTGTGTTTGTCGTGTTGTTGTTGTGTTTGTTTGTGGGAAGGAAGATGAGTGTGTGTTTGTCGTGTTGTTGTTGTGTTTGTTTGTGGGAAGGAAGATGAGTGTGTGTTTGTCGTGTTGTTGTTGTGTTTGTTTGTGGGAAGGAAGATGAGTGTGTGTTTTGTCGTGTTGTTGTTGTGTTTGTTTGTGGGAAGGAAGATGAGTGTGTGTTTGTCGTGTTGTTGTTGTGTGTGTGTGTGTGTGTGTGTGTGTGTGTGACCTTGTGGTTGTTGTTGTTGTGTTTGTTTGTGGGAAGGAAGATGAGTGTGTGTTTGTCGTGTTGTTGTTGTTGTGTTTGTTTGTGGGAAGGAAGATGAGTGTGTGTTTATTGTGAGGGGGTGAGGTGAGAGGAGAGAGAAGTGAGGGGAGGTAAGGAAAGAGAAGAGGAGAGAAGGTAAGAGAAGGGGTACTCACGTCGGTGGTGGTCGCCATGTTCCATACGGTTGGTCAGTTTGTGTTCCCTGGCTCGCTTGGTGAGTCGGGTCCTCTTGCCGCCTTCATTGTGGGGCTGTGGGGGGAGAACGGGGGTCACTCAGTACCTGGATGGTGGTTATGGTGATAATGGTGGTGGTGGTGGTGATGATGAATGGTGGTAGTGGTGGTTAATGTTGCGAATGATGGTGATAAATGATGATGGTGATAAATGATGATGGTGAAGATAGTAATAATAATAATAAAACAACAATAATAATAATAATAATAGTAATAATGATAATGATGATATGAATAATAACAATAATAATAATAACCGTTATTTTCGACAACTTATGTAAGGAAATAAAGTTTTTTTTTCCTTAGAAAAAAATAAAAACAAAAATACATGAATACAAAATTCTTGAGGCAGGAATTTAGATTTTCGTTTATTTTTTAGTTCAGGGATTTTTTTTCCGTCTACCTACAACATTCCTCTTCCCTCTCACTTGCCCTCCTCTTCCCTCTCCTACCTCTCATCTTTCCTTATCTTCCCTCTCATCATTCTCCCATCATTTTCTCATCTCTCTCTCCTCTCTCTCCTCTCTCACCCCTACACGTGATAGGCAACAATGACATAGGAGAGAAACATTGTGGTTCTCTAGGGTAAAAGTTTTAATTAGTTTTGCTTCCCGTAAATCCCTCTCTGAGTGGGGGGAGTGGGAGAGAGGGGGGAGGAAGAAGAGAGAGAGAGAGAGAGAGGGAGAGGTGGAATAGCACTGTTACGACCTCAACCTAACACATAAGGTCGGTATTCTCGTCTCTTGTGTTGTGGTTTAGCCTTGTCATGATGCCAGCCATTGTGAAGAGGCACTGACTGTGATGTTATTGTTGTTGATAGTGCTGGTGGTGATGCTGATGGTGATGAAGGTGGTGATAGTGATGGTGGTGGAGGTGGTGATAGTGATGATGTTATTTTTGGTGGTGATGGTGACGATGGTGATGAAGGTGGTGGAGGTGAATGTGGTGATAGTAATGATGTTATTGTTGTTGATAGTGGTGGTGATAGTGGTTGTGATTCTGGTGGTGATAGTGGTTGTGATTCTGGTGGTGATAGTGGTTAGTGCAACGATGTGATGGTATAATGTTATTGCAAGTGTCTGGAAAATAACGACTATGCTCCTTTATTGGTAGTATCCCTCCCCCTCTCCCCTCTCCCTTCTCCCCTCATTCCGTTTCCAGGTGCCGCGCGAAGCTCACAAGGAAAGGGGGGGGACTCCTTATATTTGTCACGGGTTCTCCCCTCACCTGTACTCTCCCCTCACCTGTACTCTCCCCTCACCTGTACTCACCCCTCACCTGTACTCTCCCCTCACCTGTACTCTCCCCTCTAGCTGGGGTGAGGGAAGCGATGTGTGTGATCAGGTGCCAATAACAATATCTGATTGGTAGACTTTCCTCCCTCTCTTTGCCTTCCCTCCTTCATTCCTTCTTTCTTCCCTTCCTTTCTCTCTTCCTTCCACCCTTCCTTCTTCCTCCTATCCTTCCTTCTTTCCTTTCCTTCCTTCATTCCTTCTTTCCATCCTTCCTCTCTTCCTTCTTTCTTTCCCTTCCTCCCTCCCTCCCTTTCCTTCTTCCTCTTTTCTCTCATCCTTCCATCCTGTTTTTATTCCTTCGTTTATCCCTTTCTTCCTTCCCTTTCTCCCCCCTTCCTTCTTTCCTCCTTCCCTTCCTCTATTCCTTTTCCTTCTCAACTTCCTTTCCTCTTCCTCGTTGTATTCCACCTCCCCTCCCACCCCCCTCCCCTCCACACCCCTCCCCTCCACCTCATACTTATAAGAATGTTTTAATGACGAACTCTTGTTGATAATGTGAGATGAATGTTGAGTGAGGGAATGTTTGGTGACGGGATGGGAGACATAACGCCAACCTGTGTATTGATTTCCTCTCGTCTGTGTGTGTGTGTGTGTGTGTGTGTGTGTGTGTGTGTGTGTGTGTGTTTGTTTTACTTTTTTTTCTGGCTTGGTTATTACCCGCCTCACTTGGGCTGACTGATAATGTTGTTACCGCGTGAGTCAGGTTAATGCAGGTCCGTCTTAACGTCACCCAAGACCTGACCATTTTATCATCCCTCACAGGCGGTAAACAGTCTTCAGTAGGTCAGTATTGGCGTCATGAAGGTCGACCCAGGCATAGGAAGGTCAGATGTGTATATATTTGACGCCAGATGTGTATATATGTGGCACCAGATGTGTATATATTAGAGTAGCCTTGGTGTCACGTGTTGCCTGTGTATATACCGTATGTGTGTTTCTGGGAGGCTGCGATGTGTGGTGGAGCATACTGTGACGTCATTTGCATTGGCCATTTAAAAACAAGGGAGAGCAAGCCATGACGTCATCAGTAACCAATCAGAGAGTTGAGAGGGCGTGGTAACATCATTAATAGTACCCAATCAAACAGAAAGAAAGCCCCCGACGTCTTCAGTAACCAATCAGAGAGTCGAGAGGGCGTGGTGACATCATCAATAGTAACCAATAAAATAAAAAGGAAGCCCCGACGTCATCAGTAGCGACCAATAAAGTAGAGAGGAACCCCCTGACGTCATATTCAGCTTTTAATCAGAGAGATGACTGACGTTCTGGATGTTATTTCGGGTGACTGCTGGTTCATAAGCCTTGACCTGTGACATTATTGTTTATATACAGCAGCGACTGTTTATTTGTTTGTCCGTCTGTGTTGACATTTTACTGACATCTATAACATACTGCGACCGTGTGTGTGTGGGGGGCCTTTGGTGTATATTATGCTCGGTATGGGGCTAGGTGTATATTATGCTCGGTATGGGGCTAGGTGTATATTATGCTCGGTATGGGGCTAGGTGTATATTATGCTCGGTATGGGGCTAGGTGTATATTATGCTCGGTATGGGGCTAGGTGTATATTATGCTCGGTATGGGGCGCGTTTGTTTTGGTTTGATTTGTTTATAAGTGTGTCAGGGAGGAGGGAGAAGTCAGCTCTGGTGGACCGTCACACGTGTTTGCTTTGTTTACCTTTGTATTGTTTGGAGTTTTGTTGTTTTGTTTGTTTTCCACAACAAATTCGGCGTTCATTTGGCGTTCATCTTACTACGTTCACAACCTGACCTTCTCTTAACGTTCTCATAACACCGGGCCGCACATGAAGCTCCTCTGTGTCTTGTTTACTTGTTTATTTGTTTATGGGCTTCATTGTTTGTTTGTTATTATGTCTGTTTGTATACAATTTAATTTACTGTGTTTGAATTTGTGGGGGGGGAGGGAAACAGGGAAAGAATTTGAGTAAAGGGGAAGAGAGAGAGGCAGGGGGAAGAGAAGGTGAGAAAAGAGGAGGGGGAAAGAGAAGAAGATTAAAAGGGAAGTGTGATGGGATGAGAGAGAGGGGAAAGTGAAGGGGAGAGCGAGGAGGATAAATGAGGTGGGAACAAAGGGAAAGGAGTGAGAGAGTAAGATGGAAAGGCGCTGGGTGGGGGAAGGGAGGGGAGATAGGAGGGAGGGGAGGATATATGCACACAGGAGTTGGAATTGGGCCGACGGGGGTAAGTGGTTTAGCACAGAGAGAGAGAGAGAGAGAGAGAGAGAGAGAGAGAGAGAGAGAGAGCCTCACAGGTCTACTTGTGGGAGGGGGGAGATAGGGGTCACATACATACATACACGTACACTAAGGTAACATGCACGGACACACCCGGGATACACAGACATATACACACATAACAGGTACACACGTCCAGAGACACTCACACACACACAGGCAAACATGGCGTCATTAAGCAAGGTGATTAAGCTCCTCTATAACACAGGTACACACAGACAGGTACACACACACGCACACAGGTAAACAAGGCTCCATTAATCAAGATGAATAAGCTTCTCTACAGCACCAGTTTAATCAATGATGACTGAGGCTCTGGCTGGCTGGCTGGGCTGAGCTGGTTGTGGGGAGAGGGAGGTGGGGTGTGGGGAGGAGGAGGTGGGATGCTGGGTGTGGGGAGGAGGGAGATGAGGTGTGTGGGATGATGGACGTGGGGAAGAGAATGTGTGTAATTGGGGGGAACCTAGAAGTTATCCCAGTTAGATATCGTGTTCCAAACTTCCAGTGCAGTTGGCGAGTTGTCCGAGCTTCCTGGACTATCCCTTTAACACTGGCTCAGATAACTGGTTAACTTAGGATGTGGTTGTTGTGATGGTGATAACTTTTGCACCTTATAGAAAATCACGACAACGGGAGGTGAGGCGGAGGCGAGGTGAGGGGAGGGAGGGAGGTGGGGAGGTGAGGGAGGGGGGGGGAGGTGAGGGTGACGACGGGAGTGGAATTGAAATCCTTAAATACCAACGAGGTGAAGTAGAGATTTGGGGGAGGGATGTCTACACTTTAATTCTGACGTGTTAAAGGAGGAGCCATTATTAAAACTTAAGGAGGGTGGTAGGGTGTAGGACAAGTAAGTCTCTCAGATAGTGGCAGACGCCCAGCTGTGATCCTACTGTACTCCCCCTGTCTGGTCTGTCTGTCTGTCTGTCCTATTAAGTTAGATTATTATCGGGTGTTTAATTATCTGAAAAAATAAGCTGGGGGTGTCACTTCACGTGGATCCGTTTTCCTGTTAATAGTATGGACACACACACACACACACACACACACACACACACACACACACACACACACACACACACACACACACACACACACACACACACACACACCCACCCACACACACCCACACACACACACACACACACACACACACACCCACACACACACACACACACACACACACACACACACACACACACACACACACACACACCCACCCACACCCACACCCCACACACACACACATCCACCCACCCACCACCAGACACCGTCACTCCCCGGCCACTGCCCTCCACCGTCCTGTCGACCTGTAATGGGTGGTACTCCCTCACCTACTGGTCCAGTCCTGACCTTCAGAGAGAGAGAGAGAGAGAGAGAGAGAGAGAGAGAGAGAGAGAGAGAGAGAGAGAGAGAGAGAGAGAGAGAGAGAGAGACCCAGATAGATAGTGATTATTGGTCCTCTCTTC